GCTAACTAACCGTGATAGAAAAGTACTCTTTTTTTCATAATTTTAACTTCCTCTATGTTTTGTATTAATAAAGTACAACAAATGTGTCTAGCCTAATTGGTTACCCTTCTTGTCTTTGATGGAAGAGACCATGGTTAAAATCCTACCATTGATATATTTTTATATGAAATAAAAAATTGATTGTGTAGACGAAAATACCCTTCCTAATTTCATTCTCGTTGCAGGAAATTTGAAATTGAGCAAATCAAACTCTTTAAAATGTATTATAAGTAGTGTCAATTATTTTCATTGCATAGAAGACCTCACAGATAAAATATGTTTTAAGATGATTGAGATTGAATATATGAGTAATCAAACCATGGGTTGATATGTTGATTTTTTTTTATATGCAGTCAACCAATTTGAAACTAATTACGGCTTCTAAATAACAGCTTTATATTTACATTATGCTTTACCACAGCTTCTACTCCCTGCATTTACAACACTTTGCTTCTTGCACTTTAGTTTATGTTAATTTGTTTAATTTTCTTGTTCTTAGTTTAGTATGATCCAAAATTAGGGGCACTTCAACTCTATTTGATTTTATAAAATACAACTAGGCCCTACCAAAGTAGAGAGATTGCAAGAGGCCCTATGAAATAGTGTTATGACTATTGTAGAATTAAATTAATTTATTTTGAGGCCATACTACACACCCATAAGACTCTTAAGCTTCCAAGTTAGGGGACTTCTTCTCACATTCATTATACATGGTCTTCTCTAAAAAATATATATCTCTACAATCTCTCTACATTAATTCACATAGACCATCCTTATATTGTACTAATTTTGACGTTAAAATGTAGATCACGGGGGCAATTTCCCGTCTCCATGTGACTTTCCTCTACACACTAGAAGATCGAACATAGGAATCTGAATCATAGCCCCAACTTTGGAGAGAATGCAACTTATTTAGAGGAAATAATAGTAGCAACAGAGGAGTTAGGTAATGGAGCCTCTATCAACTTAAAAATATAGATGTAATTAAGTGTAAAAATAGGAAATAAAACAGTCGTTAGGATTTGAGTCCTCATTTTTTGATGGACAATTTGAATCATCTTTTCCCAATGAACATGGTTCAGATCTCTTAACTTTTATTTTTAACCCCTTGTTCAGATTTCTAATTCTTAATCTGCCTATTTCTCATTCACTTTTAATTATCTTATCCAATCTGATCGACCTTTCAATGAATTTCTATATCAAATATGGAAATCGCTTACTGTGAGAATGAAACTCCATCAGCTTACTCAACTTAAAGGTTAAAAACATAAGAGTATTCCGAAAGCCCACCATGCAAATCGCTTACTGTGGGTTAGACGGTACGGTCCAACGAAAGAGCCCAATTTGAATATTCTTAATTGAGCCCAACCTAAAAGATTTTAATGGGCCAACACTCCGAGCCCAGATATCCCACCCTCGCCAGTATCTCCCCAACCCAGGATCCCTTATAAGTTAGAAGAACACTCCCAATCCTCTAAACCCTAATTTCCCCAACCACTGCGCCTCTCCTTTTCGACTGCCGGCCGTCGTCTCTGCTTCACAGTCACACACCTCACCGGACCGCACAGATGGTAAGCTTCTCTCCGGATTTGTTCCGTTATTCCTCTACACTCATTTCCTACTGTACTTCATTGGGATTTTTTCTATTGCAGGGCTTCAAAAGATATGTCGAGATCGGGCGGGTGGCTCTGATCAACTACGGGAAGGACTATGGCAAGCTCGTCGTCATCGTCGATGTCGTCGACCAGAACAGGGTGAGTTATTCCGATCCGAATGTGCGTGCTTATGTTTGTAGAACCATTTTTGGCCTCCTAGCTTATTCTGTAGATTCGTCTTTTGAGCTGAATGGTAGAAAGTTTCTTCTCCTTAAGAGGATGCTATTATTTAGATGGTTCGGTTGATTTGTTGCTCCGATATCGAGTTCTAGATGCTAGAGTTAGTGCTCGGGTAGTAATCCGTTCACAAGAACTGATTAGTTTTACACACAGTTAGTAATCGTTCATGGCTTGGTGGCCTGGTATCTGTTTTATTTTTCAGTCTCTAGGAATCCTAGGAACTTCGAATTTCAGGAATTAGGGTTCCTTCCTGTAGCTTTGTTTGTCACTTGATGGACCCTGAACTTGTTATTCTTAGCTGAGTCATGAAGCAGTTTTTGGGCTTCTAATTTGTTTTTACTACAGGCACTAGTTGATTCCCCAGATATGGTTAGGAGCCAAATCAACTTTAAGAGGCTTACTCTCACTGATATCAAGATTGAGATTAACAGAACTCCCAAGAAGAAGACTCTTATTGAAGCCATGGAGAAGGCTGGTAGGTTTACTTATGCTTTTATGTAACAAGAACTTTGAAAGTGCTCTCATGTATTGTTTGCTCCACAACACCTGTTGACTGTGAATTTTTGGTGTGGTAGATGTTAAGGGCAAGTGGGAGAATAGCTCATGGGGTCGCAAATTGATCGTTAAGCAGAGAAGGGCTGCCCTTACTGACTTCGATAGGTTCAAATTGATGTTGGCCAAGATCAAGGTTTGCGATACTGTAACTCTTTCATGAGTTGATTTATTTGGCCAAGTGTTTTACTTGATTGGAGGAATGTGCTTTCTTATCTGAGTCTTCTACCATTGGTGATATGCAGAGAGGAGGATTGATCAGGCAAGAGCTTGCCAAGCTGAAGAAGGAGACTGCTGCTTAGAACCACCCTACTATTTTCCCAATTTTGTTGTTGGTTGTCTGCAAGAGTTGTTCTGCGTGGATGTTGTTTGGTTTTCTGTTCTGTTCTGGAGATATACATTAAGCAGCTGAAGGAATTTTCTTCTGATATGACATGAGATCCATTTTGTAGAAACTAAGAGTGAAATATGACTTTGGCTCTTGTTAAGGTTATTCACATCACTTCTGTTCCGTCCACCTTCTTGCTACCTGTTGTTGCTCAAATGCCTAGGATCTTACTGTCTAGGGCAAGATGTGATTTTCCTGAAGTAGAGATAAGGCGTTTTCCCATATTGTCCTTGCTATTTCACCACTATATCAGGGGTTCTGCTTAAGCGTGTGATTAAGGCTGTAGGTTTGGTTGCTGCTTAGTTGATGACTGTTCATGGAGGTCATAAGGGTACCTTGGAGGTCAAGCTACAATATACACACTAAGATGCTCTTTAAACCTGCATTCCACGCTATCTCAAGTTCGATTAAGGGCAGCTTCACAAAGTGTTAGCCTTGTGAGTGGAGCAATGAAAGGTTGAATACGAGGTGAAAGGTGGGTTTTTAGATTATGGCAGACTAGAGAGCTGTGAAGAACCTGATTACTACTTACTAGCTACGAGTCTATTGAACTACTAATGGATACAAGAATGCATTTCCTATATCTAAGGCCAACTTCAATGCAATTCCCCAAATTAGGGTGTCATCCCATTTTTTTCTTGTTTCTCTAATAGTACATTTTCCAAATTTGCGATTCTCCATTTTTTTTCAGTTTTTCATTTACTTAAAAATGTATTATGGAAGCCTTAATATAATTTGCTCGTATTAATTTTTTATAGTTCATCATCATTTTTAAATAGAATTTTAAAATTCCGACACCAAATTTTTTGACAAAAAACAATTGATCTAATTTGGATTTACATTTTCAAATGATAAAGCTGAAGGAGTTCACATAATAGTTCAAATAATAAACAAACTATCATCTTAAAACAACCATTAATTTCACAATTAACCCAAAATTTAACCTCAAATTACCCCACAATTATCACCAAATTTAACCCCAAACAACCATTAATTTATAAAAACAAAAAACAAAAAAGGGGTTGGGTGTTTCCGGGAATCGCCAAAACATTCCCCAAAAATAGCGATTCATTTACCGATTTTTGTCAAAAATGACATCGGTCCCCAAATAAAAAGTTCCGCTTAAAATAGGAATTCCCCATATTAAAGATTTCTCCATATTTGCCGAACTCATTAGACTCAGCCTAAGTAGCTTATGACGGGATGGGATTAGGTGCTAACCCCTATAAGGGTTAGCACCGTGATAACTAGCAAAAAAGCTACTAAAAATAACGAAATCACTACGGATTATTATAAAATCAATACAACATATAAGCTAAATCACTACTAATTCAAACTAGTAGTAGTTTTTCCCTTGGTTAGGACGGTGCTAACTACTGTACAATTAGCACCGTAGCCGTTCCTGCTTATGACAACTGTTCCTCCGGATTCCTATATCTCAATAGAAATTGTGCAACCAATTCTTTCAACGTGACATCTTGTTCTACAAGCATCCACTTCCCAGGTTTCGCTTCAGGCATAGCCTGAATACCCCCAATCCATGGAATGCCGTCTCGCTCATCGACCAGCATTATAAAATTAACTATTCTGTTATCTGCTCCAGACAATTAATCACCTGGTCCTAGTAGGAGTGAGCTGGGAAACAGCCAAGTCAAGTCCAGTTGAGACCTCATTTCTTTCGCTTTGTACGTCAAATACCTAATTTTTTTCTCAGACCGAGATCAATGTATATGCCTGCCTACCCTCAGGGGAAACGGAGTGGAGGAGAAGCTAAAGGAAAAAGAAAGCCGCAAATCTTTTCTCTGATGTTTGCTTCAACTACCCAACATGTTAGTAAGATCGCCGGAAAATTCGTTGTGTGGCCTACACTACCTGCCATCAACTTTACGGCCACATCCAGCAACAGATTGAAGATGATTCAGACGCTTTAGAAAACCAACTCCCCAAAATTCAACAGAATAGAGCAGATACCAATTCCCTGGTAAACTAAAAGAGTACGGAATAATAATATGCATCACTGCAGGGCTGTAAATACAAATACAAGCTGCAAGCTTCTACACAGAAAAAAGATGCCAGTTTCAGTGAAACAACAGAAACCCCCTGTTAACACTTCATTCACACAAGAGTAGCTGCTCCTCGTCTCGCAGGGTATACCAGCTGTATGAGCAGAATGGTTCAGATCATTTTCAAGGTACCATTGCACTGGCATCATCTTCTTCACCTGCTACCGGCGCTTCATTGAACATGTACTCATTCTGATACTCCATCAAGTACTGTGCTGATCTCTTCACGTCCAGAAACAGATTGTAAACTCTGGTGATGTCTTCACTCTCCACGAGCTTTCCCTTCCGCTTCAGGCATGCTAATGCTGCTGCAGTAATGAGGTGGATGGCATATCTTAACGATGTTTCTCCGCCAATATGGGTTAGCAGTGCCTTTGCTTCCTCAGACATATCTACTTCTTCTTCTTGGCACCTAATATCCAGTATCTTGCGGATTTCATCTTTCGAGTAAGGTTGGGTGGTGATAATAAGCAGGCGGTCGAGTAGATCTATGGGAATTCCATGAGGAGATTTATAATTTGTGCCTCTGATTGTAGTGATCCCTCTGTTGGTGGCAACAACTAGTATGGGAGACATCTCGTTCTCGAGAGCACGGTTTAAGAAAGAGAAGCACTCGATATCGAGCATGTGAACTTCATCTATGAACAGGACACCAGGCACAATCTCTGCTTTGCCTTCCTCTCTCCATTCTGCCACCTTAGTGTCGATTTGCTCCCTGACCTCAGCACGAATTTCGCCAGTGTCACCAGTGAACAGCGCTAGAAATCCCTGTGTTCTGCAAGTACAAAATGCATAATGTAAAACCAAGCAGAACAAGGCCAGGTAGAACATGTCCATGAACACAAAACCAACACCCAAAGAGTTCCATTTGCATGTGACACGGTGCTCTTGGATATCATAAACATCAGATTTATATGCACAAATCAAAAGCACATCAACCAAAGCTGATTCGAGTCCTCTTTGATTATGAAACACACACAACGTGAGTTAAATAATCATGAACCATGAACAACCATTTGAATCTGAAATTAAGACAATGGGTTTTCTATATACTAAAAACCAATATCAGTGTCTCATAGACAGACTTGCAGTAATCAGCACTCTCCATCCAAAGGTTCAGCCTTCATACAAGCCTTCTTGGGCAGAAATTTTACCAGTCATAAATTACAAAAGTTTCTATCCAGGAAACTAGAGAAATCTAAATGCTGAGCTCTCCCTCTTCGATTACTAACAATAAACACCCCTAAAGCTCACAGTAGCTCCAAATTCAGAAGCCAAATCCATAATTTCTAGACATATAAATCATTCTCAGAGTAGAAAAGTTGGGAGCTTTACCTGCTATTAATGACATCAATCTCGTGGAGGGTAACACAATGCACAACCTCTTTCCTCTTCTGAAGCTCGCCATCGGGGCACTGAACAAACTTCACCTGCGGCCCCATAGCATCATAGTCTCTCGACCTGGCGAAGGACCTCCCAAGCTTGGTGATTTTCCCAGACGCTTTATCAATGGCGATAACATCCCCACTCTGCACTTTCTCCTTCCCTAGCGCCTCAATCATCTTCGCCCCCAGGTCATACACAGTCTCCATCTCCGTCGTCTTCAGTGTCAACTTCCCGGTCTTGGACGCCGCTCCGGCCACCGCAGGCCTGTCAATTTGAACTTCAACCACTTCGCCCTCTATAATCTCCGTCTCCTCCTTGATTCTCACCCCAATCGCTTTCCGTAGGGCTTGCATCAGGGCTTCTGTCTTGGACATCTCGAGGGAGAAGATTTCGCTGCCGGAAATCATGGCAAATGGGGTCTCGAGACCTAGGGATTTCGCCATCCCCATTGCGATTGCTGTTTTCCCCGTCCCCGGCTGGCCGGCGATGAGGACTGCTCTTCCGGCGATTTTCCCGTCCTTGATCATCTGGAGGATGACGCCGGCGGCTTTGCGGGCGGAGGTTTGGCCCACCATGCCTTCGGAGACAGCCCGGGCCTCGAGAGCGGAGTCGAGGCCGAGGCCCCGGATGTGGGAGTGAGCACCTATGCGCTCTACTCGGGTCAGGTCCCGGGTCTCGGAAGATAGCCTAACCTCCGCCATCGACCGTGATGCTGAGGAAGAAGGAAAGGAGACGAAGGAAAGCTACAGGAGGAAGACAGATTTATGAGATTAGGGTTTAGGGTTTTGTAACTTCTTCTCTTCAACTCTGCTACTCAGCCCGCCAGCTTCAACCTCACTTGAAGTTCTAGAATGTTTATTACTTTATTTTCCCTTCTAATGAAGGGATCGTTTGGTAGACACTGTAAAATAAATGGAAGCTCTCTCTAAGCTTAAAATGCAGCTTAAGAGTCAAAAAATACACTTGGACAAAGGCAACACATCCTCTTTACATAAAAAAACAAGGAAACAAGGTGAAATCTAGACAAAAAAGGATAGAAAAATCTTAACCTTGTATTCGTGAGCAATGCAGTCAAAATCGCGCTTTAAAACTTAAAAGCTTACGCTTTTACCTTTTTGGATCACCAAAACGCTTCTATGTAGAATCGTGATTGTCCCTTACAAATGTAGTCAAAATCTACGTTTTAAAACTTAAAAGCTTACGATTTTACGCTTCTAGGTCACCCAACCGCTTCTAGGTAGAATCGCGATTTTGACTGCATTGCTCGTGAGGTGAATTGAAGATTTCGACAGCAAAACAAGTTAATCTTTCCCTGAAGCTGTTTTGATAATTGGGTAGGAGATTTAGACTGCTCTCCAAAACACCTTTTACATCTCTCTTTCCATAGATAGGAATACACCAACATCATATGATCACCGCCACACTTTCATTGCTACCTCCCTTCTTAGCGTTGTTATAAATCTGAACCATCATATCACCTCAGGTGAAATAGAAATTAATCCAGCAATTACCGCGAGTAACAAACTAGACACAAAATCAATTGTGTACTTGCAACTACAAAATAGATGCTCTCTAGTCTCTATATCTCTTTTACAAAGTACACACTGATCCTCCTACAAGATACCCCAGAGTTTCAGTTTATCCTTAGTTGCTATACGATCCAAAATAGCAAGCCAAGCCACCACACGATTTCTAGGCAAAACAAACTTATTCCAGACAACCTTCCACCCACAGGTCATTTAGGCCTAATAGCTTGCCAAACACTAGATACCGAATATTTGTGCATCTGCTTCCCCTGTCATGTAACCCTCCCTGCTGAAGAGGTGATATTAACTTGCTAGATGGACTCCCCCTGGAGTCTATATTTTTTAATCCAGACTACCCAGAAACTGCCTCCTTGAAAGAGAAGCAACCAGATAAGCCTAGAAACACATGCTACGTTCCAGAAGAGTAAATCTTTCATTCCCAATCCTCCTTCCTGCTTAGGCACAACCTGGTTTTCCCATAGCACTTTAGCTCGACTAGTCCCATCCCCATGCCACAAAAAGTCAGCACACACCTTCTGAACTGCCTTAATCATTTCTTTGGGAAAACAAAAATGGCCAATAATTAATGATGGAATACATGACAAAATTAATAAGTTGGAGCTTCCCTGCATAGGACAGATTGTTAGCTCTCCAACCTCTAATACGACTAGTGAGTTTATCAACTAAGATTGAACACTCTCTACTAGCCAATTTTCCTGCAATCAAAGGGTGTCCCAAGTATCGCACTGGCAAATGACCTTCCTTAAACCCTGAGACCCGGATAGCATTATGCTTAAACTGTTTAGCCTGCCCCAAAAAATACTTCACACTTGTCCGGGTTGCATTGAAGACCTGACAACTTATAAAAGTCATCTCTAATCTGTCTAACTCTACTAAGAACCATAACTGACCCTTTTGTAAATATAAGGAGATATAAGCAAAAACAATTCATTGTGCATCATAGTAGTTGAACAGACTACAATTCATTGCCTTCCTCTATCCATAGTATCAGCATTCAGCACCAAGAAGCTCATCATTTTTCAGATTACCACACACATTACACTCCAGCAAATTAGATGAGTTACCATCTGATGGAGGCAAAGGAGCCATTGTCCCCCAGCAATTCTCCACATTACACATGTACCTCAAGAAGAAGTAAGCATGAGGAAAGTCTTCTTGGGCTTCATCATCACTCAAATGAAGATCTTCTTCCCCTGCCTCCATTTCCTCATCTTGGTCCTCATCCATCTCCTCCACCTGGTCAGTCTCTCCCCCGTCGTTTTCCTCTTGATCCGAATCAGACCAATTCGCTTCAACTTTACATCGGTCACAATCACAGGTGAATCCATAATCCTCAAGCAGTCTCTTCTGCCGACATGAGTAGCTCTCATTGACTGGAAAATAACTAAGGCAGATCTCTCTCCCCTGAGGGACATCGTGAATCATCCGAATGATGATGTCGGTATTAGAACCGGAGTCCGAGTCCACATAATCAAATCTACAAGCATTCGGGAGGCAATCGTGATTGAACAGAGAAGCTCTCGGGTAGATACCATAAGCCCTGACCGACCTCTCCCCACGAATGTTGTCCATCAAACCGAAAGCATTGAGCTTGTCCCGCGCCAGAAGAGAGGATGTCAGTTCCAACGTAAAGGCAAACCCTTGCGCTGTGGTATGAGGCGGGCAAAGCGTGGAGATAAGGGAATGCAGGAAAACGGCAGCTTTCGCTGATGCAACGTCATCACCACTGTGGGTGGATTGGAGAGACATCAGAATTTGGAACTGGGAAGGGTTCACTATAGCTAGATTGTAGGCAGCCACGAGATACCGAGCTTGAACCTGGCGCTCCAGAGGCTGATGAACAGTAAGATCAGGGTAATTACTTAAGCGAGCGAGGGATTGGCATACCCAAGGAGAGTGAGAGGAGGCAGCTGCAACTGAGAGGCAGTTAGTGCTGCAGAAATGGTGATTGTTGTTGTGAGAGCATGAAGGGCAAGGTATTGCAGCTGAAGCTGGCTGTATCCTTCTGAAGCAATTGTCACAGTAGAGAGCGGAGGTTGAATGGACTTGCTGCTGCGGATTCAACGGGCGAGTAGAGTAGAGGAGAATCGGGGAATCTTTGAGCACAACTTGACCAGCTTTCAATGGCTGAGATGAAACCAAACCCCTTCCTTTCCCATGAATCTCTTCAACCTTCAATCCCTCTCCTACCCACATATTTAATTCCAGCTTTGTTTCACTGCAAGCATGAAGAAAAGAAGGTGCAAAGAAGAAGACAATTACAGTGAGTGAGGTTCCTCCTAGTAAATCCTAACCAGTATGCAAGTGAATTTGAAAACGAGTTCTCCTTCTGCCATGTATTTAACATCTGTATACACGCGACAACTGGGCTCACCTGAGCGACGGCGGCGGGATCGATACCGGGGGGAAAAGTGTGGCGGGCGGCGGCGGCTGGGAGGCGATTGTGGTGGGGATTCGGCGGAGGGGGTGGTGGTGAAGCTGGGCGGCAGAGGCGGAGAAAGCCGGCGACCTAGCGGCGGAGGCGAAGAGAGTCGGGGACTCTTGACGCTGCCATTGATTAAGATTTGAAAGTCGGAAATCCCTGATTTTCAACTTTTGAACGAGAAGGGAAAAGGATCGCAGGTGCTCTGTTAGCCATTTATGTTAATATATATATATAAAGCAAAAACAGGGTTACTGTTGCCCAAGAGCAATTAATTAGTGTGAACATTCCTAATTTTTCCCGTGAGCGCGCGTGGGCAACACTCTCTTTCTTCCGGTTGGGTTTCAGCCCACGGGCTTCGTGTTTTTAATGGACTGGGCTTAATTGAGAATGGTCGGGAATACGATTTCTGGATCCGAAATTTGAGAATGTTGATGATCAATCTCCGACGAAGAATAGCTAAGGGAGTGGAAAGAGAATCTGTACTCTGTATAGAAAGAGGCCTTCTTCTTCTCTGCTGTCGATTACATGAAATCGAGGGAAGATTTAAATAGAGTCTTAGCGGCATCTCAGCCAAGTAGAAGAAATCCCAATTCCCATGCATAATTTTTTTTTTAACAATCCCTACTGAATCAGCCATGCAACAGAGGGATGAGGAAATCGACTAACAAAGTAACCGGCGAAGGAAGCTAAGAATTCGATCGGCAGAATCAAGACCTGCGAAAGAGTTGGGTAAATTGACGGAGAACAAGAAGAGTTTAGGGAATGGAAACTGAAAACGCAGTGAACAGAGGGTTAAAGCTCCGAGGAAGGTTTGGAAAAATTGACCGGGGAAAGGGTTTTGGAATCTAAATCGTAAAAATGGAAAACGGAGTACAGGGAGAGAATTAGCGGCGACGAAGGAGATGATGAGTCCATTCAGTCGATGGGGAAAGTATTGATCCAACCTAAAAAAAGAGCGAAGGGAAAGTATAATTTTGTCCGATGATTTGATTTTTCAATTTTAATTAAGCATTCACTTTAGGTTTTAGTTGCTTTATGGGCCTGTAAGTAGAGGAAGCCCAACACCGCAAGCCGTGGCAAAGCGAGGCTCACGCTTCCTAGTTTATATTAAAAGAGGAAGAGACACTCTAAGACAAGCACCGGAAAAATAAATAAAAAATATAGGAAAAGAGAGTGGAAAATTTATAATTAAATAAATGTTTATTAAGTTTAGAGTGATTGGTGCACGTCCCATCACTTGAACTCTGTTCTATGTTGGATTAATTAGTTTCGATTAAATTTATATAATCTAATTAGCCACTAGTTTTATATAATTTTGGATTATTATCAAGTCTCTTGTATAAATAATAATATAATAATGATGCTTTATTCACGCTCTCAATATCGAATTTTTCTAAAATAAACGCTCTCGCTCCCGCTCTACGAACTAGTTACCTAAGTTATGGAACTGAGGTAAACAGCGGAGTTTTTTTTTTCCATTAGATCACTCTTCAAAAGAGAAAATCGTTTAGATACAAGGGGACTAAAGGGGTTATATTCCCCTAGAACGAAGCCAAGAACAGAAGTCGAACCTCGCAAACAATTGAGGCGACAAAAGCAGAGCATGACGGGCTACACAATGAGCCGCTCTGTTACGAATTCTACCAATGAACTGAATATCAACCACATCCATCCCATCCAAGAGTAAAAATATCTCCTGCAACAGGGCACAAATCTTGTTGTCCGCTGCATCTCTTGCCACACATTTGTCAATGATTAATTTCGCATCTCCACAAAATGATATGGATCGGAGCCCACGTCTGCAGCAATCAAGTATACAATCCCGCAAGCCAAGGGCTTCCAACACATAGGGATCACTAATTGCTTCATACCGCCGAGCTGCAGCCCCAATGACTCCACCTGTAGAATCAAAGAAAACAAAACCAACCGTCCCAAAACCACAATTGGAAGTAGCAGCATCAAAAGTAACCCGAATCCCTGGTGTTGCAGTCGAGACCTGCACAGGCAGCGAAACTGACAACCTTGGTTCTGGGGTAGGAGATAAAAGAGCCTGCTCCACTTCCTTAACTTGATGAGACCATTGATGAGCAAGAATATCGAGAAAGAGCTGCTTGAATTGAAAAACCACCATACAACGATTCTTCCATAGCCTCCAGAACAAACAAATTACCGTAAACAGCGGAGTTGGAAGAGCGTGTAACTGTAAGCCTAATCATAGGGAAGACGGAGCAGCGATCTCTTGTGGGCTGGGTTTATGGGCTTCGTAGGCCCAGCTTGGAAACAATTGGGTTATGTTGCCCCATGAGTCATATCCGATTCCCGCTCGGATTGCTTGTCAAGGAGTCCGATTTTGGTGCAGAATGGTACAAGTACAACTTTCGCCAACCTAGGCACCTAGCTATTCTACTAAGAGCACTTTTAGAGTTTTAGTTAGTATATACTCATAGTGGATGAGATGGAAGACCACATGGACAAAGTGAAGATCCATAGGCTGGGGCTAATGGCTCAATGAAAAGCTCATTTAAGTGGATTTTGGTGGCTTTCCTGCTGGGAACCAATCCAGTCAAGAAAAACTAATATTCAATATTAGTGGCAGATCCAGGGGGTGGCCACCCCGGGCCACGGCCCAGCCCTACTCTGGATCCGGAATTAGTATAGCCTTTATGCATTTATCGATTTTAGTCATTTGGCCCAGTGTTATTTTATAATAAAATTGTGTGTAATTAGGGAAATCAGTAAGATGAATATATTCAAATCATAACTCTAAATTTAGTCTAGAAATTCTACCTCAAATGAGACTCGTCTAAAGAAACACAAACAATGAAACCTAAAATTCTAAAAGTCTAAAACGTAAAAGGCTAAAAGAAATATGAGATTTGTTCACTTGAAAAATCACTAGAGCAGGTGGTGGAAATAAGGATGGATACACAATACAAATTAATTAGTCGATTGATTTATCTAGTGTTAACATTGTCCGTTTCAACAGCTAATATGGAGAGAACCTTTTCAACAATAAAACATATGAAAAATGATTTGCGCAACAAAATGAGCGATGAATTTCTCGTCGATTGGTTTACTATTTTATTTGAAAAAAGAGTATTATGCAATTAGTATGGATGTAGACTCCTTTATTGATGATTTCACTATAGTAAAAGATCGACATGTACAATTGATGTTGTAAAAAAATTATAATTTTTTGCGGTATCTAATTTTCTAATGAAATGGGGCCCAGTGATATGCTATGTCTTGGATCCACCGCTGTTCAATATGGACGAACTAGTATTCATATTCAACCCAGCTAGTATTCCAGGTTTGCTAAATGATATTCAACATGAAAACAAGTACTAAAGTATACATGAGAGCACATACTAGTATCCAGAGAGCACCGGCAAGTATCCAACCATCACAAAACTAATATACAACTCACAAAATTAGTATTCGTTCAATGGCTAAAATAACTTGGACCGGTGTATTTCGATTGGGAACGACGTGGTGTTGGGCGTACAAAGCCAAGACGATGGGTTGACTTGCAAGGTTTGGCCGAGAAAGCAAAGGCGGTCGAGGTCACAGAATGTTCGAGGAGCCGGCTGCCCCAGTCGCTGTCACGCTTGTCACGCAACCACTGCCGTCAGCTCAAGAAGTCGCCTTCAATGACTCCGTTGAGATCTCTCGGGAAGCTTTGGCAGTCTTCTCGGCATCCAGGGCGCCTATTGACGGGTATGAGTTTGGTTCTCCTCAACAATCCACCTATTTCGATTTTTCAATTCATCGGAATCTCGCGGACGAGATTCTTTAAAAGGAGGGGGGGGGGGGGGAGGTGGAGTATGGAAGGAAGGACAAGAGGATAAACAAGGGTTGCGCCAGGAATTGGAAGTTCAGTAAGCGGACAAACGAAGAATCAAGCTACTCTGTTACGAAGATGCTCTGTCGCAACTGGAAGTACAGGAAGCGCAAGCTATATCAAGTCATCACCATCGTCTGTCATTTCTTTCACATCTGCGTATTTGTTTTCCAACCTCGGAGATGAGGTTGCTTTAAGGGGGTGGATTGATGGGTGCTAGAATATTGATATTAATTATTATTATTGTTCTAGGGAAATCAGCTACTATTATCCAAATTAGGAGGAGATTATTATATTTATGGGGTGCTTTGGGTTGATAATTATAGTAAGGTCTTTCTCGAGTAAAGTCAAGTAAGGGGTTGGCGAATGGGTTAGGATTCAGTTTAGGGTTTTTGGGTGTTTTCCTATATATATGTACTTTGTGGTTCAATTTTAATAGACAAGAAAAATAAAACCAGTTTATCATTATGTTTATCTAGGAGTAGGAGTAATTTACCTAAAGATTCTCGAGGCTTGATCCGTCAATGCATCAGGATATTTCAGTAGTGATTGGAGGTTATTTGTAGAGCAAGTCTTGTGGCCCAAAGGAATGGTATGGCTGGAAATTTTGGGATGAGGGTACACGTACGATAGTCTAAGATCGGGTGACTAGGATTTTGATAGAGTCGTGAACAACAATCACTTTTCGTATATAATATTTCCACTCTCTACAAAGTCTGAGGTTACAGGATATTTATTCATAGGATAAAACTATCACCACTTTAGATTCCAAGTTTGAAAAGCTAATGCATACCTAGAAGTTTCATAGAAGAATGAATTTTGGTGTCTCCCTCCCACCAGCCAATCACATCTATTCATAGATTCCAACCTTATTTTCTCCATATCCAATGTAACGTTTCAAGATTAGCGGACAATTAGAATTGGAGAGGGGCATCCAATTACCCAAGGAACGTATATATTCGTTCATTTCAAAGCTAAGGCAAAACTGCCACCATGTACTGGACGTATATGTTTCTCCATTTCAAATTCATGGTGGATTTTGTCCATTAACTTTAAAATTAACAACATATTGCTTTAATGGCTAAGTGATATGCTATTAATTATGAAGTATGAACTAATGAATCATTGCTTTCATGGCTAACCGCCATGCAACGTGTGATAACAGGTGTTCCAACCGATATGATTAATTAATTCTTACCAAACCCAGTGGCACCAAATTCCAACATTCCTCCCATTTTATTGTATTTAAAAATTCACTAAAATTACAACATTCTTCCAATAAAACTTAAACATAAATGATAAAATCGTGATGATTGAATTTTCATCTTAGTATATTACCCTTAGCGAATATCCGAATATATGGGTGTCAATAACTATTGAACCCAACTACTCAAATAGATATTTGAAGATAAAATAGTTTTCAAAACTTATAAGTGACCTTGACACTATTATCCGCCATGTGTCCAATTCTTCTCATAAGCGCACTCGAAACCAAAGTCCGGGTTTCTTGAAGCAGCTACACTTCATGCTTACATAGGCTGAATGTTTTATTCGTGTACCCACATAATACACTTTGTCAAAAATTCAATTAATAAGTTTATACTCCATCCTCTTATCTTATGCAGGATAACAAACACATTCCTCGGGATGACAAATTTTGTGCTTCAATTTCTAACAATGAGCTTTCCAAATTGAATTCGGCCTCTTACATTGCATTAGAGGGGAATTGGGTATCACATTATCAGAAATTATATGGACTTTAAATCCATCCCTTTCACATACTTGATCACCAAGTCACTCGTTAACCATTTTGTTAAATGATCAACTAAATTATATCAAGTTCGGTCACATTACATAGACACAACTCCATGAGTGATTAATTCACAGATTTTACAGTGCCTAACTCCCACATGACCATACTTATCATTTTCACTTGGCTATATGTCTTAGCCAAATTAGCATTACTATCACTAAGAATAGTAATAGGTGAGATTGGTTTTGGCCACTCAACAATTATGCCTCTTTTCTAAGAGAAATCAAGGTCACAACTTTGACCCATAGTGGAACTAGTGATGCAAGTTTGCTTTCCAGAGGTCCAAAATATGGCACCTCCCCCAGACAAGAGGACCCATCTCGATGTTGAAGTATCACCTTTAACATGAGAAATCCAACTAACATCAACAAATCCTTCCAAAATGGATGGAAAGCAACTATAAGTCATACAATGTGCCTTTGAGATATCTTAGTACGCGCCTCATTTCATTTCAAATGATGAGTATTAGGATTCATCATGTACCGACTTAATTGTTCTATCGCATATGCGATATCTAGCATCATGCAAGTCATGCATACATTGAACCCCCAATTTAACATGAAATACTCCGATTGTAAAACTGATTTCCGGTATTAACCATAATTTCCATATTTGTATCCATTGGGGTCTTTAAATCACGACAATTCCTACAATAAATCTTCTTTCTTGTTCCGCCTGATTCAATACACAAAACTACATTTTTCTCCCCATGTCCTGCATGGAGAAATGGAGAGGGGCATCCAATTAACCAAGGGACGTATAAATTCGTTCATTTCAAAGCTAATGCACATGTAATGGACAGAATATGTTTCTCCATTTCAAATTCATTGTAGTTTTTGTCCATTAACTTTAAAATTAATAACACGTTGCTCTCATGGCTAAGTGAAATACTGAAATGCTATTAATTTGAACTAATGAATCATTGCTTTCATGGCTAACTGCCATGCCAAAGCTTTGCCATGCAACGTGTGATAAGAGGTGTTCCAACCAGTCTGATTAATTAGTTCTTACCAAACCCAGTTGCACCAAATTCCAACATGTTGGAGCGTTGTGCTTCATGCTGTGTGTCGGAGTGTACGGTTGGAAAGAAACAGAAGGATTTCTGAACGATTCCACCATAGATCGTTAGTTTAGAATTGGGAGAATGATTGCAAGTTGGATAAGTGTTGCAGGGAAACTTGAAAGGCCAGTGACAGAAAAATGGGTTGCGTTTGTACAGAGGAGTTTGGTATCAGTATAGCTATGGGATTGGCTGCAGCAGTTTGGGAGAAGGAATCAGAGACTTGTTTCTTTGCCTCAACCCTAAGACGTATATGACAATAATAGATAGATATGCTATTGCTATTTTCATACGAGAAAGTGGAACAAGATCATGTTGGCTTACACTGTTTTTGTTGCGTGACGTTTAAGTGCTGTGCAGTTGTTCTGCATGGCAGTGGACAGACTGAGTAGAGAGCTGGATACAACAAAATGAACTAGAGGATACTAGAGACGCTATCGCTATGTCCAAGATTGTTGCTCTTTTAAACCTTAAAAGAATTGTTGCCACCATTATATTAAAACTGTGACATAGAAAGAAAAGGAAAGAAGCCATGAGTACTTAATAAAGAAGCAGGAGACCTTAGATGTACAGTACACAATAGTTGTCAATGTCACACATGATACATAAATCAATTACAAGTATTCAAAGCCCTTCTACTATATATATATATTTCCTACTTACTCATACAAAACCTTAACACAATGTTACTCACCATAGCATTATAATCAACTGATCTAAGAGCTCCTTCTGGTGACTGATCATGTTCATACCATTGTACAGAAAACATTCCATAACTTCTCCATCCATATATAACCTGGCTGAAAAACGCATGTAGATGTTATTAATCAATACCCCATAGAAAATTGGCGCTCGTATCTTTTCTTCAAGAACTTGCCCACATCAGAAAAGCTCCTGAAGTCGTTGCCGTTGTTATGGTAACCATTCTTCTCACCGTAGTCCTTGTTCTTCTTGGGAGAAGTAGTCATCATCTTGTCGCAAAACCTGCCAACAAGCCCTTGTTGATCGGACGGCTTACGATCTTCAACCTCATCATCACCAACGTCCAAAAGAGAGCCCTTTTCCTGAACTGGATAGCCGCATTCCCAGCGGTGGGTCCGCAATCGCAGAGTCTTCACCGGTTGATGATCATTATGATTAGTATCATCACTGTTGTTATTGTTGTCATGATCGTTATGAAGTGTGGGTGATTCAGCTGCTGCGGGGTCGTTCAGCTGGTCTAGATCCTCGGCGAGGGCAAGGTTCTCGATGCGGCAGATGTCCTCGAACGTGGAGCCCGCGGAGGCGAAGGAGGAATTGGAGACGGCGGAGGACGGGGTGGCCGTGGCAGCAGGAGAGGTCGGAGAGGAGGAGGCGGCGGCGGAAGAAGGAGTGGAGCTGCCAAACCCTTGGATTTCCTTAGAGATCTTCAGGGCTTTGAGGCGAGCTGCTCTCAGGGCAGTCCCGCCGCCGCGGAGCAGGCTGAGGATGCTTTCGGATCTCTTGTGCATGTTCGCTCCCCAGTCGAATCTGTACGTGTGTGATGACATTCATAGCTTAAGTACGTATCATTCATCAACTTTTGAAAAGCGACATGCAGATGAATTTAACTTACCCTTTGTCGTCAATGAATTGGAATGTGCCGAGCTCTTCGATGATGTCGATATCGTTCTGGAATTCGTAGGCGAGTTCCTCGGGGCCATGGGTCATTAAGAACTCCAGAAGTACCAGTGTCTTGTATGATTGCCTCCACTGCTTCCAGTCTACCGTATCCAGCCTGAATCCACGTAAACATACATACGTACATGCATGTTGGTTCCCGGTTGGTTATATATTCGAATTCGACCCCCTCGCATATTTAAGATCACGTATTGTACGTACCGTTTGTGAAGAATGTCGATGATTCTCCAATAAGCATCGACACCAAATGAAGCGACGGCGATTTGTGTCATGGTTTTAGCATCAGGACCCCATGGTTCGTTGTTTGTTGCTTCCTCAGTCAACCTGACCGACGACGGACATCATAATTATGATTATATCACGTTCAAAAACAGAAAGAAAAGTATATAATTGTGATCATTAATGCAGAATTGCAGATGCAGGACTCACAATTCGATTGGGGTGATGTCGGTGAGAGCCAGCCTTGCAGTTTTGTACTTCTCTTGAAGGAAAGAACATGCTTGCTTCTTCATCTGGTTTAAGAACAGGCTTCCCATCTCGATCTCGAGCCTAATTTTTGTTTTTGGTAGCATCAAAGGTTTACTCGAGAGGCATCAATTGTCTGAATGATAATTTAATAGGAACAAAGATCGGAGAGAGGACTATCGGCAATGGTGGCAGCCCTGCATTCTCGCTTGATGGTATGTACGGAAATCCTTTGGTTCAGAAATAGGCTAAACCCACCCAAGAAAAAAACATGGACGACCAAGCCTACTAACGAAACAATCATATTAATAATTAAAACTGTCCCCTAGAATTATGGAAGGAAGAAGAATGCAACTAACTAGAAGCAATCTGGATCTGGTGCTGCAGCAGTTTCATACAGTGATCTCAGTTCCAGATTTCACCACCGTCTTCCTCAAATCCACCATTTCAAGTTGCTGCGACCATAGACCTACACTGAAAATCCAAACCAGTGCCTATTTGAAAGAGAGCTTCAAGGCATCTCAATAATTTTAGGCTTCTTCTTTGGCATCCTTCTGTTAACAACTCCAGTTGAACCAGCTCTGCTGAACTTCGATGCGGCATTAGATGAAGTGTATTTCCTGATATTGTCAGTTTCCAATCTACCCCGTCATCACCGCCCTTCCTACACTTCCAACACCATTATCGTCACCTGAATCTTACAAGTCCGACTCACTCCTACTATCATCCAATGTTATCAACTGTTGGCAACAACTAAGGCAGATCCATCAGCAGCACAACTTGCTAATTCTGGAGCTCTGTTACACCTCCATTAAATCCTAAAAAAGAGAAGCCACAATGATTTCATCAGATGGAAGCTGCATGGTTAAAAGGTGGACAAGACACGTATCACACAACCAGTTCTATGACTTCAGATTCTTTTCATATCAGAGCTTCAATACCGTAAATCTTAGAATTATCGTAAATATATAACCACGAAAGAGAAACAGATTAGACAGTCTATTTGCAACTTCCAAGAGGTAATCCCCAACAGAAAGGGAATAAACCTTGCATCTAGCTGTAGCTGCCAGTGAAGTAAACCCAGCACCAATATCCCACCAAGTTGCTTTAGATATCAACAGAACGCAGCCCGGTTCATCTTCATTCTTCAAACTGCTAACTTCATTTCTTCAAGTTCAGGCACTGCAATATCTTCCCTCATCAAACTAGCGTGATCCCCACTCACTCTTGCACCAGCCTGAGCGAAAAGTTCCACCACAGCGGGCAACATGCCATAGTACCTCCGCAGATCATTTACCAGTGGCTCGCGACTATTGAGATCACGGACGTGCCATACATAGACTGGGGGAGCCAGATCATCAACAGTTGCCTCTTGCCATGCATGCTGACCATCCCTCATCTGGTGCTTGAAAGCTTGGCAGTTTCTTACTCTATGGCCCTTGGGACCAACTTGAACTTCAGGGCAATATCCACACGTATGAACTGCATACTTGCTCAATAGTTTCTGGATCCCTGACCTCATTACCTCCCATGATTCCATTCCTCGAATCGCAACCTCTGCAGAGGGAAGCAGTAAATGAATGTCATATGGGATGCTAGAGACATATCGATAAAGCACTTTTGCTTAACCTATCTGAGACATAACATACACCCATGTCCCGATCCAGGAGAGTCATGGACAGTTGGAAATATCAAAGGATAAAGAAATAAAAAAGTAAGAACTAGGAAGGAAAACCTCGTAAATTGACAAAATTAGCGTCTGCATACTCGGTCCCCTCAACTGGGTTATTCTTCTTCTCCCAAAATCCACTAGTATTGATGTCTTTTCCTGGTGTGTCTTCTTCTTTGGGGAACCTGCGCTCGAAATCTATTATTCTACCAGCAACACTATACGCAGGGAAGGCCCTTCTTCTTGTTGGGTACTCTGGTATGTTGACACCACCTTGGATACACAGTTCCACAACTGCCGGAATCCGGTCAACTATGAGCTGCTCGTTATGGGACACAGCTCTTCCTAGTCTGTCATACAGATGGAAAGATTCGACCAGAGGCAAAATATGGTCAATACCTCCCTTCATCCATCTGTGCTCCTTGTTATTCAGGCTGCCTACTCCATCACAAGTCCTGATTTTGTGAGGAGTATGGCCTACATGAGCTTCTCCACAAACACTGCATCAAAGAATTAGGTGCATCACACACAAAGAAAACTCTCCAGGAAAATTCACACATCATGCATCAGTAAAAGATCTTACCTGCATGAGTACAAAGCTATGGTCTTGGCAACCTTTGAGACGCAACCCAACAATTCAGCTCTGGCAGCATACACTTGATGAGCAACAGGGATCAGTTCTTTAACCAACAGCCCATTCTCAGGCGGTCGCAAAATTTGTTCGCGCGCCGACTGTTTCTCTTCCCTCTCTAGCCTCGCTTTCCGCTTGAGCTCATTCACACTCGTAACCCAAGGCTTCCTTTCAGATCTTTTTAGCTTCCTGGGAAGCTCTGTTCCAGTCGACACAGAAGAGTGTCTGATAAAAGTCCGACAAAAGTTACTTCTCGAAACAAACCTCGCACTGTACGAAATTGTTCTGAAATTCGGCGGCGTCATCTTTCAAAGTGCTCAGATATACCCGCGGGGATGGGGATCAGTCTCTCAGCTAGACATTTTCACAAACAGCCTCCGTGCAATTGAAAGAAGGAAGCTTAATGTTGGACCTCCACCACGGCAAGAGAACAATACAACACAGAGTAGTGAATTCGGTCTAGTTCGGTCGTGGAAGACAATAAACCGCCGGTCTATGCAGGTAAAATATGAATCAAGACAGACAGAGAGATTCTAGGGTTGGTCAAGTAGATAGAAGCTATGTGCAGAGCAATCTGCAAATTAGGTGAAGAACGAAGATGAGAGATGCCCAATCTTCGTCTTCTTTCCCTTCTCACTTACCTGCGGGCCTGGGCCGCTAATATTTATGTAGTTAGTTTTGATTACAAGCCCAATATATGAAAATGCAAACTGATTAGATTTTGGCCCAAGTTTAATCGCGTGTTAGTGGCAGACTGGCAGTGCCTTGTTGTTTTGGAATATTCTACTCTCTCGGCAAGAGTGATCTTATTATTACTTCTCCTTAGATATGAAAAAGATCAGAAAGTTTCTAGCAGAATGGTCGAGGAAGATGATTAGAAGTGATGGTGTTGTTACCAGGTTGCACAAAAGATTCATATTTGCAAACTTACTGTCAAAAAAGCGAAATTCAATACCCTATTGGAATGGGATTCAAAGCATCTCAATAATTTTAGGTTGCTTCTTTGGGCTCTTGTTGACAACTCCAGTTGAACCATCTCTGCTGAACGTTGATGCGTCATTTGATGAAGCGTCTTTCCTGATATCGTCATTTCTTGCACTATCATGATCATCAACACCTTCCGTATCAGATTCATCATCGCTTGAATCTTCCGAGTCTGACTCGCTGCTACTACTACCATCCAATGTTATCAGTGGTAGGGCTCCAGCTAGGGCAGCTTCAGCAGCAGCTACAGCTTGCTCATTGTGAAGCTCTGCCACACCCAGCATCAAGTCCTAGGAAAAAGACACCATGATGATTTCATTCAGATAAAAGCTGGAGTTGTTGTACCATGGAAAAAGGCAGATATCACAGTACCATTTCAATAACTTCGGATTCGTTACCTGTGAGTGCTTCGATGTCACAGTTCCCGGAATTATCCTACATATTCATCGACAAACAAGAAATGGGTTAGACATACTGTATTTGAAACTGGAGAAGAGGTGGATCCTCAGCATTAAGTGAATAAACCTTGGGATCTGGCTGTTTTGCTATGAGTTCCAGTAGATCTTTAACTCTTCCTAGCACTGCATCACATGAAAACAAAACGTACAGCGTGTGAATTATCAGATAAGTGAGTCTAGCAGACCAAAAGCAGATGAGGGGTGAAACACCACAAAGTGAAAGAGTTCCTTCCTAATAAACATGCCACTGGTAGAAACTGTGACCATTCATTACAATTCGTGAAGCGTGACCCATAATTTAACTTGAGAATTCCCGTCCTCAAAGATCAAAATCAAATAGATGCAGAACTATCAAACAATCTGAGATGCAAGAATAGGTAGTCTTTGCAATACTGGGTGGTGATCAGCCAATCAACTCTGACGACGAAACATTAACATAATTACATGTAAGATCATGGGTACCCGGAGTTCTTCGGTATATGGAAATAAAAAAGAGAAGGACCACTAGGGTACCAGGAGTTCTTCATCAACCTAACAGCCCATGTCCATATAACCTGACCTTTTTCTTGCTCTGCAACGTATAGGGCTTTATTTCGAGTCTCCTACTAGTCTGGAAACCGGACAATGTAGTGACATATTTTCCGTTCAGTACAATGCCTAACACCTTATTGTATAAAGCTTCAACATTCAGCTATAAAAAAAGTTCATTAAACCCCAAATTTCACTACTACCTTGGTTTCTTTTAATGAATGAAAAGAAGACATTAATCGAAAGAGCAATAGACCACAGAAAACTACTCAGCACACCCCGCATGAAACAAACCAGGCCAAAAGAGAAAGTATATCAGGTTCTTCCTTGCAACCAAAATGCAAACTTCCATTGTTCCACCCCCATCACTTGTGGACATTACATAAAATGCTCAAGAGGAAAATTCTTGCATGATAAAATAAGGTCTAGATTTGGGGAATGTAAGTCAAGTAAGTGATAGCACTAATTCTCTAGAGGTCAAGTAAGTGATAGCCTACAGCAGAACGGACCCTTCTCGAAATGCAATATACTAACGCAGTCCGCCGCCAAACCAACAGCATTCAGCTCAAATTGGTGGTCATCTTTCCAGAATGATCAATAAAAAGAGCTGCCAAACTCTAATGGAAGTTCAGCATAGGGACTTGGATTTGTTTGCAACTAACTTATACGTCCATACATACCACAAACATCCCAACAATGGTTCAAAAAACAAGCTGAAGACTCATCCAAGAATGGTAATTAATCCACAAGCCTAGCATCAGTTTCAGTACAATAACGTTGGAGTCAAAACTGCCACATCCATGTAAATAGAACGAAGATATACGCCATATACCGCAGAACAGAACCTTTCCATTTCTTCACCTGGTGACTCCACCATCAATGAAACTGAATTCTAATAAGTGAAGAATTCGAAAGTAACGTTACCTTGGCTATCAGGAACTGCAGCAGTCGTAAGTTTCCCATGGGAAGGAGAAGTGAAGATTCGCGAGCCGACCGGGCTATGGCTGCTGAACCCTCCTTTTCCAGCCGCAAAAGCTCTTTACTCGAACTTCCTCCATTTTTTGCGTTTACCTTTTTTTCTTGAAGCCCCATTCTTGTTCTCTGGATCCTCAATTCTTTCTTCTCCGCGCTGCCTCACAGAGTAGAAACCGAAACAGCAGTCACCAACCTCTTCCACTTTCTTTTTTTTTGGTAGAACCCCAAGCTCTTCCTTTTTTCTTAACGCAGCTGCCGCACGAAACTGTATTCCGCCGAACGCGAGTTCTGACAGGGAGTTTCGAAATTAACAGAGGAGAGGCGGGCTATCGAAGTGGTGTCATAAATATCAGAATGGCAACATTTTGTCATTTCCAAAAATAACATTACGTTGCTCCGTTTTCAGAATTGAAAATCAGAAAATGTATAGAAAAACAGAATGAAAAGTAAACAGATTTTCTTGTTTTGGTTGCCAAATTTATGACATGAAAATAGAAAATAGGAAATGGAAATGGAAGTGAATAGAATCTAATTTAGTGAGCTTTTCTAAATCATTTTCATTCTGATTTTGGTAAATGTCACATTTGCTCATTGAAATTACTAAATCATGTCATATTTAGTCACTAAAAAAAATTAATATCAATTTTGATCACTCGAATTACTGAAACCTATCGCATTTAATCACTCTCCCATCGATTTCTAAAACGCCAACCCAATTGTAGATATATAGTATTAAACAACCTCTGGTTAGAAAATTAACATGGTTGACAATTTTTCCACACTTTACGTGAATCTTTGTTACTCGATACTGTCAAATTACATGTTTGTCCATCGATTGGATTTATGTGTTGGAGGAATTTGCCTCTCTATCCTTGATGATGAGTAATTTTATTTACTACTTTCAACGGTTTCTAGTGCACTAAAACTTTGCACCAATCGAACCAATATGCCACTCGATTATGCATGTGTAGCATAGAACAACTTACAGATAATAACAGATAGTCAGCAAGGGCGAAACAGACGAGTCGATTCGATTTCATAATTTGAACCAAGTTGAACATTATGACAATGCACGTCATCGTAAATCGTAATATAGGTAGCTTATATAGTCATATTATTGTCAGCAGCAACGTCTCTCTGTTTCCCAATGAGAAGAAACCTACAGGAACAACAATGGGTAGATAGTAATTGATTACAAGCTACACTCATCTCTCGTCGTATAAACAATTCTGACATGTCGCGGACCATTCATCTGCTTCATGAAGTAAAAGAGAACTAAAAGAAGAAAAAAGAGATCTCCAGTTGGTGGCCTTAAAGGAGCAGCATACACCTAGAAGGCATCATCGACCAATGCGTTTGCTTCAGCAGTGGCTTGGCGGCTGTGAAGATAACGCAAGAATGCATACACATATACAGAGTGAAATGGCTTGACACAGAACTCCCGTTAATACTTAATAGTGTCCCTCAGACTGCCAAACCCTAAGACAAGGAGCGTATTTTGAGATCCTTCTTTTCCACTGATTGGATTCGACTAACCTTATTTTCGCTTCCCTGTCCCGATGGAAAGGAGCTCCAAGCTCCTAAGCGTGTCATCACGAGCACCTCTCGAGGCAGTCGCACGAGTGAACGATGATGACTTGGACTCAAACCCAGGTTGAAGCCTTTGGGTGGTAGACATGCGACCGCTGCTGGAAGAGATCAATCTGCTTGTTCGACTATCGATAGGCTCACCAGACGAGCTCGGCCTACTACTCGACACAAAAGCCCTCTTTGATGTGCTACCGGTTCGAGATGAAGAGCGTGGTCTGTCGGAATCAGTGCGCTGAAGACAAAAAGTTCAGAAAGAGAAAGATCAACATATTGGGTGTGTTTGTTTTCTGGCTACACAACAAGTGTGGGTAGGAAAAAAATAGTTGGCCCTAAAGTTAAACCAAACACAATTTTTCAGTCAAACTTTTCCAAAGAAGTATACATACACAGTCTCACAAATTACAAGTCTAAAAAAGCCACCTTCCAAATAAAATCTCATTTCCAACTTCTCCATTTGAAATAAAATACTCTTTCAGCGGTATCTATAATAGTAATTTTTAAGTCATTCTTTATTATTAAAGAAACTATCAAACATCACAATCATTTGTTTTTCTTATAACTAAACCCAAAACATAATGCATATATCATAAACTCGCTTTTTAAAAAAACCAACCAACCAAACAAACTTTCTTCTCGTAGTATACTAAAATAGACAAAAGGAAAACAAGGACACCCATTAAACTTTAATGCCATCCGCAGAATCACCCTTTCTGCCTGTATGTAAAATCCTAATTGGGTTCAAAATTTCACTACCACTACTTACTCACCACATCTTTAGATGAAGGCACATCATCTGAAGACCTGTGCCGCGACTGATCCCCACGGGTTACTTGTCCAGAGCTAGTCCTCCTCACAAATAACTCAGCTACACCAGACAACCTATCTCGAATCTCTCGAACTACACAATCAAAACAATCAAATGACCATTAATTGATAGCTAATAAGATCAAGCAACTTCTGCTCAGGGGGTTATCTTTAGCAGACCATACCTGAAGGCTGCTGCTCTACTCTTTCTGCTGATGTTCCAGCGTTTATAGCAGGTTTGACACTTGGCTGTTGGGAAAGGAGACAGTAAGACAAACATCATTTACTTCATTCCGCCTTAAAAAAGCACATCCAGAAAATTAAGGAACACTCACTCGTTGCCTAGAACTGGAGCCGATTTGTGGGTACTTCAAGATGGTCCAATCAAACACATAATCAAACTGATACCCTGAATCATTGATGTCAATTCAACCTTTTGCCCAGCCCAATCAGACCAGTAAAAGAACAAGACACAAGCTAGTACAACACTAACCTTCTCGAATAAACAAGTCCCTAAAAAGCCTTTTCAAGTATGAATAATCGGGCTTGTCTTCGAACCGCAATGACCGACAATAATGGAAATACGACGTGAACTCAGAGGGATAGCTTTTGCAAAGGACCTGTCAAACAACAATGATAGCATTTAGCATACAGACGTACCGACATGCACATTCCACCACACTTGAATACATAAATTATCTCCTAGTGTACCAATAGTTTCACAAGTTATGCGTCATAAGTTTCTAATTTGATGTAAAATGAATGTGCTCGACCATACCTCTATCGGAGTAAGCATCTTCTTCTCACTGATTTTGTCATACTTCTGCTTCTTAGTGCCTGCTTTCAGCCCCTGCCATGGAAGACTGAAGAAGCAAATCACCGAAGCACAAAGTCAGCATTGTACTAGCCACGGAAAGAAAGTGCTTCAGCAAGTCAGTGAGGTAGTCTACCTTCCACGAAGGAAATACATGAGAACATATCCAAGAGACTCTAAATCATCTCTTCTGCTTTGCTCTGAAATCCGGAAAGAGGATTAGATTTTCTGTAAAGCTAAATGCTGTTAACAGAAGGCAAATATTGGATGAAGGTTAGGTTAACTTACCAACTCCAAGATGAGTATTAACACTAGCATAACGAGCAGTGCCAGTCAGATTCTTATTTTCCCTGCAACAGATGAAAGGAAACGGGGTTAGGATTCACTATTAGTGATAAGATTGACGAATTCATGACCACACAGAAATGAGCAAAGAAAATAAAGCCAACTTGGAGCAATGCAATTTCATATGACTGTTCACTTAAGAATGGTATAGGCTCACTGGAAATCAATACCACCACCACCACTAGCAACTTTAAAATTAACATGGCACAAGAGAACACTAGTTGTAGCAAGTTTGGATTCCTAATAACATGGGAAATCAGACTAAGGTCCACTAAAATTCCAACTATACCAGAACTGCGTGAAGACTTGTTCAGTGAAACTTAGCTTCATTTTCTCAGAAAATCAATATATTGTTAAGTTAGACTTCTCTCCCATACTTGAGAAAAATAACTTAAATCACAGAACTCTTAGAGCTTCGTTACTCTGAACTCCAATGCCAAGCTTTTTCATGTCATATATTACATGAAACCAAGTCAACCAACCGTAAAGATATGCAGGGATTGAGGAGAAGAAACGCAAGGCAAATGGAAAATAAATACTAACCATAAAAAGCAATTAAAAATAGTTATATTACACCTATGAATTTCTGCATCAGGAGTTACCTGTATGCTATGTGCTTGTGTGTTTGAAGATCCCTGTACTTTTTGGCAAGGCCATAGTCAATGATGTAGACCTGCATCGGATAACCACAAAGGAAATGTCAAGTAAGAACTGTTGAGACATCTAGGTACATTCATATTTGAATCCAATACTATTTTACTAAACCTCAAACAAGTGCAAGTCACCCACAAAAAAAAAAGAAAAAATTAAAAAAATGGATACAAAGTTAGTGGAGCAACACCAAAAACGAAATCCCACCTGATTGGCCTTGCGTCCCAAGCCCATCAAGAAATTGTCAGGCTTTATATCACGGTGAAGAAAACCTCTTTGGTGCAAGTATTCAACTCGGTTTATCTGCAAAGGCAAACAGCACAAAAAAATGAATTTCAGTAAATTAAAGGATTTAACCCGTAAGACTTGTCATATTGAAATGACCAAGTATCGAAACTTACAAGTTGATCCGCAAGCATCAAAACTGTTTTCAGAGTCAATTTGCGATTGCAATAGTTAAACAAGTCTTCTAGACTTGGTCCCAACAGGTCAATAACCATGACATTGTACTCCCCCTCCACTCCAAACCATTTGAGGTGAGGAATGCCAGCTTCAAAAGATAAACAATAAATGAGTGATCAACGAACAAATATCAGTCACAATGCAATAAGTTATGTCAAAAGGGGTTGTAAACAGAAACTTACTTCCACCTTGAAGGAGCATGTACAACTTTGACTCATAATGAAGTTGAGGGGTCTTTGTCTTCGCAGACTCCTGGGGAACGACAATAATACTTATAATCGCAAAATAAAAGTACAAGTGGACTTGCTTTGACTAAAAACAAGGATGAAGAGAAATTGAGGGAACGAAACAAAAGAGCCATTCGTCACAGGTGGTTACACATACTGACTACAAAGATGAGATACAAAATCCACACCTATCTGCTGAAAAAGCCTCTAACTGGAAGAGTTCATACACAATCTTTCTGTTTAAACAAAAGGTTCTCCCACAAACTTAACTATTCATTCTTCTGGTCATCTTTGCCATGGAAAGTTAATGGATTCAGGGCGTCCACTCTAATTCTTCAGCCAGCAAATTCAAATAGTTCCTCAGACAGCGTTCAATCAAACCATAGTTATAAGAGCCATCCTACTAGCATCTACTGATACTCTCACGACAAACCCAAGAGTCAAAGAGAAACATCAGACCATCATCAAGCATAAGTGCTCCTTATCTTTATTAACTATAAATATCAGGCACGCATTGGAGAAGCTCATTCTCTTCTGAATGAGCACGGATAACTACTACATTTTCTATTTAGCCAGAGGTTAGTAACTCAAACATCACCCAGAAAGCATCACCCAGAAAGCAAGCTCAATTCAAAGCCGAAAAACGGGTTATACCAAATTAGTACGAGGAAGGAAAGTTGCAACTTGCAACTAAGTATTAAGGTCCAAAGACATACCAACTTAACCGCAACTTCTTCTCCACTCTGTATGTTAACACCTGAAACCAAGTAGACAAACCAAGCTGTAAGTAAACTAACAAAACCTCCAAACAGTAAAATCTGAAGCACTTATTGGGAGTAGAAAGATAAAACCAAAAAACAAATGAATTTACCACCAAAAAAATTGATGAGAAGAGAAAATGCTGCTGAAGAAAACCCTAAAATAGCATACCCAGGTATAGTTCACCAAAAGATCCGCTCCCGATCTTCCGGCCCAGCTTAAATTTGGAGGCAATCACGTGGTCCATGATCAACCAATTTCAACCAATATACTATCCAATGAGTCGAACAGATGAATGGAAGATGAAGCTCGACGGACCACCTTCGCCACCAAATTCACCAACCAGAGCGACCAACAAAAACGGTCACGTGATAACTCTCAGATCTAATAATCGGACGCAGCCTATCTCGCCGGATAATCGAGCTCGTCGCTCGCTCGACTCACTCCAAACTGATAATAACAGCGAAGAAAAAGTAAGTGTAACAGGACGCTGCTAATTATTCTACTCCTCGAACATCTAAGCTGCAGAAAAGGCTCTCAGAAAGATGGAGGGGTCCGCTCAGGAATCCAAAAAGTACCCAGTAATGAGTGAACACTGAATTAGGGTTCAGGGAGAATGACACTGCATTATCTGCTGAGAGGAGGAAAAGGTCGAGGGAGACAAGCGGAAGGAAATTCCAGAGTTCAGAATAAAATGGATAAGACTTTCTGTTCTTCACTTTGGCCAGAAAGAGGGAGAGGAAGAGATATCTAAGTTCTAAATTCTAACTTATGACAAACAATTTGCAGCAAAAATAAAGGGATCTCAAGGAGCTGGGCCGGCTGTTTGAAAAGATGGAGGGTTTTCCTCTGTTTATTTTCTAGTTTTAAAATTATGGTAACCTCTATTTTTTATACAAATTTTTTTATTAGATTCTTTTATATTATCCAAATCTATTAAAATGTTATAAATTAATCAATTTTTTGTAATATATCAAAATATTAGTCATTTTTACGTTATCGTTAATAATTTTGTAACTATTTTCTTAATTAAAATATTTAAATTTTGGAATGTTGACCTTCATGTGTCGTTTTCAAGTCAATATCATGTTGTCAAGTCAATATTACTAATAAAATTGTTAACTGGAAGTTAACATTTAGCTAATTCTTAGTATTTCGATAGGTTTGACTAATATAAAAGAACGTGAGAAATGTTTGAATAAAAAATAAACATTACCCTTAAAATTATTAACAATCGTTCTAACTTTAATAGGTAGATTATGTAATTACATATTACGTATTTGTTCCTAATTAAAGTTCAAGTTCAAAACAAGATAAACAACCATTATTCATTAATCCGCCACTCTCCTCTCTCCATTCTCAATCGCCACCTGATTCTCTGATGTCGGCCGTTGATTCCTCTCGAGCTCGTCGTCAGCTCCTATGCAACAACCCGCCACCAGCCTTCTCTACTCGTTGAAAGTCGTCCACCTAGAGTTGGAGAGGAAGAAGACAATCGGGCGACTGGAGAGGAAGACTCCCACCGCCGTTTCTCAATCGCTGCTCGCCGTCCCTTGATTCCCCTGCATCAACTCGTCATCGATTCCTCTGGAGCTTGCCCCTAGAGAAGAAGGTACGAAAATGAAGAAGCCGGAAGGTTTGAGCGACGGACAAACGGTCTTCGACCGCGTTTGACCGACGGAGAAAACGAATTTCGATTTCATTTGCGCCGCCGATCGAAAGTGGCAAATGACCGTTTGTATGTCGGTCAAACCCGCTTGCATGTTTCTTTAGAGCATCCACATTGGTATTGTATTCTCAATTACAAAATGACATGACATATGTGTTTGCAATTGCAAAATCAATTACATTTATGTGACTACTATTGGGGTATTACTAAAAAGGCCCAAAAGAAAGCCCAAGGAAGAGAACTGTTGGGGGTATCACTAAAAGGAGCCCAAAAGAGGGCCCAAGAAAGAACTCGTTCAATGGGCGGAAGCCCAAAGCGGCGGGCCAGGAGAGGAAGCCCACGAGACTCATTTCATACAAGGTAACATAGGCTTGGAGACAGGGCACTAAAGGTCAAAGAAGCCCATGCTAGCAAGTGGTCCCCCGTCTGTGGGCGCCTGCCAACCGTCAGAAGCCTGACAAGGTGGTTGAGGCTTCTGATAGGAGTGAAGGTACAAAGCATTTAATGTGACGGTGACTTGGAGGAGATCCACCTCGAGTTTGGTGAGTATAAATAGGAGCAGTTGGTAGCATTTACACAGGTTTGACTCTCTCACTAAAACTATTGCTCTAGAAGCACTTCTCTCTCTAAGACACTGACTTGATCGTCGGAGGGCTAACGGGCCCAGGCGCCCGCCTCTGTGCTCGTGTGTGTAGGCAAGCGCCAGACAGAAGGAGCGTGGCCGCGTCGGCAATGTGTCGAGGCTTAAACAATTGGCGCGCCAAATAGGGGAATATAACCAAGAATCATGAGTGAGGAGGCGCCTATGAGTGGAGAGAGAGAGGAAATTACGGAAGAACGGTCTGGGCAGATGAGACGGCTGACGCCCGAGATGGACGAAGATGAGGAAAGTGATGGCATGTTTCGAGGGTCGGAAGGCGCCTCGGTCACAAAAAAGGAGATGTTTAGGATCATCGAAGATCAGGATGAGGCAATCGAGGCACTTTGGCGGGAGGTTGACGCCTTGAAGAGAGGTGAAAGGATGACGCCCAGCCTAACTTCGAAGAAGAGGGAAAGAGTGGCGGAGACGGAAAGCGAGTCAGGGCATTTGAGGCGCCCAACCTTTGAGGCGCCCAAGCTTATGGCACCCCTATGATCGCGGTGGGCTGGACACCAGTGGATGGAAGGGAGGAATTCTGGGGCGCCTATCACGCCACTGCCCCGTGAGGTAGCCCCTGGCGCGGAATATACTGATAGAGCCCGCAGGGACCAACATCCCCCCACTCCCAACTTACGACGGGACAGCGGACCCAGATGATCACTTGAATGGATACTTCACCAAGATACAGCTTTACAACAGCTCAGACGCCACCCTGTGCAAAGCGTTCCCATCGACCTTTGCGGCGTGGTCCTCGACTAGTACCACCAAATCGTAGAGGGGCGCATTGACTGCTTTGAGCAGTTTGCGGCGATGTTTTTGACGAAGTTCGCCAGCAGGAAGCGCCGCTCCCTAACCATAGGCGCCCTATTCAAGGTCAAACAAAGAGATGGGGAAGCGCTGAGAGAATTTTATGAAAGGTGGCTATCAGTAGCCCTGGCAGTGAAAGACGCCCAGCCGTCAGTGTTGGGAGTATGCCTAAACGAATGTACCACCAGCGAGGAGCTATGCAGGGCGCTTGCCAAAAGGGACGTGGTATCCACGGAAGATTTGGATCACCGAGTGCAAAAGGTGATCATGCTCGAAGAAACCTTGGCAGCCAGAAGGGCAGATAGGCGGAAGACAAGGGAGGAAGAAGTTGAGATGATAAGGAGGCCACACCCCCCGAATGGTCCAGGATATGCACCCATGAACCACCCCCCACCAAGGAGAACCGATACGGGGCGCCCTACGCCCAGGGGGTCGGGAGCCTTTGCTGAGTATAATGACACGCTGAAAAACATACTCCAGCACGTCAAGGAAAAGGGATATCACATCAGATGGCCTAGCCCCATGAGGGGACAACCCAATGAGCGAAACTTTTTACCGATATTGTGATTTTCATCGAGAGGTCGGACACCACACGGGCGACTGTTATCAATTGAAGACCGAGTTGCAAGGCCTGGCAGATAGAGGGATGCTCAACAACTTCGTCAAGAAGCCTGAAGAGAGAGTGCACCGGTCATGCGTGGCCGACATAGAGCAAGGAGCGACGGAAGAGCTGCCACCCCCGCCCTATGACCTCGACCAAGAGAAGGCGCCCGAGTGAATACGCCTTACCATCGAGGCCATTTCGGGGATGATGGACTTGAGGGAAAAGATAGAGGCAAACCGCCGGCTGAGAGCGGCCTCTGCCGATGTGCAGGAGGCCATCGATATTAGTTTCAATAGGGCGCACGAGGAAGCATGCATGCTCCCATCCATGGACGCCTTGGAAATACAAGGAGTGGTGGCAGGATGCAAAGTGAGAAGGATGCTTGTCGACACGGGAAGTTCCATGGACGTGTTATTCAAGGACACGGTGGCCCGCATGCAACTATCGTCTGAATTGATGAGGCCATCGGAGTCGGTACTAGTCTGCTTTTCTAGGGCGCCCGCTCGTGTGATAGGGCGAGTGCGCCTGCCGGTTGCCTTGGGCGACAGGGAGCAAAGGGTGACGCGCGCCATTGACTTCGGAATAGTAGACTGCCCATCGCCGTACAACGCGATCCTAGGAAGACCTCTCCTGGCCTTATTCAATGGGGTGGCCTCTACTTGTCATCAAACCTTGAAGTTCATTGCTCCGCAAGGAGTGGGCGTAGCCCGGGGACGAGGCGCCCCGCGTTAGGCAAAAGATGCAGGGCGGAAACGAAAATGTACTGATGCAAGGGTCAATGTGATGGAGACCGTGGCAGAAGAGGCGCCCCGAGCCGAAGCTGCCGACGAATTACTTTTGGTGGCGTTGGATGAAGGGCGCCCGGAAAGACAGGTGAGGATATCGGCAGAGGCGCCAGGCAAAATGAAAGAACGCTTGATTGCCCTTCTAAAGGAATTCGCAGAGCTTTTCACGTGGAGTGCTCTGCATATGTCGGGTGTTGCACCCGAAACGGACGTTCATAAGTTGGCAGTCGAAGAAGGCAGGCGCCCAGTGTAACAAAAGCGCAGGAACCTATCACCATAGAAGGAAGCGGCGCTTAGGGTCGAAGTGGACAAGCTCCTAGGTGCCAACTTGGTCGAAGAAACTTGTAACACCCCACCCTAAAATCATGGGTCGAACCAATGGTTCAACCGCGCAGCGGAAATCACTCAGGGTTTACGTTTTCAAAATCTCGACTCAACTCACATCCACATCATTCTCATAGGTTTAAAATTCAACTCATCATAACAATTTACTAAAAATCATATTCTCAATTCATTCATCCATCTTCGTCAAATTCAGGATTCACTAAACCCATACACTATCAATCTTATCTACTCCCTTCATACTCAACTCAAGTTAATGATCATACTTGACTATTGTAAACTATCATGCATGCTCAAAACCCGAATCGTAAAAATAAGGATTTCAGAGTACATCAATATGTGAAAAACCTTTTAAACCAAAATCCTCCATCGATCATTGTGCAGTGCCAAAGTCATCCTCAATTTATCACACCTGTCACATCTAGAAAGAAAAATGGGTCAGCTACTAAGCTGAGTGTGTGGACCTGGCCTATACGGCAAAACTATTGTTAGCATGCCATCACATCATCACATCTTGTTGATTAAAAACACATCATCAACAAATTATCATGCCACACGAAAATCTCATTAATCTCTAGATTTATCTCTAGGTCATCAATCCAAATTCATCTTTAACCCAATTCCTCATGGTATGACTTTCATTAATCAAGTCGTATATCGAAATAAAATCATAAACTTACCTCAACTCATGAATCCATCATATCAATCGTTCATTCAAAGTCAACTCATCATTTAATCATCAGGCATGTCAATCATTCATCAATAATCAAATCGCCATTTCGGCGCAACCATATCAATCTCTCAATCAATCATCAATCAAATGTCACTTTACGATTTCCTTCATGGAAATCATCAACATCATATATATCATATGCAATGGATGAAATGCAGACTGTCCATTTATTATTAATTTGCGCGCTAAGGTCAACATACGCCCACCCCTCTCGAGCTCATCATCTTAGTGGTTACAATGAAAACCACAATCTCATCAAATCTAGGATTATCATAAATCCTCTCATTAGGACCGCAGCCCAATCAATCTCATAGGGGTAGGCATAGGCCCTTCTATGTCTATGTGATTTAACATGATCAAACAATATCAATTTCTCTCTTCCATCATATCTCAATCGATCCAAGAAATCAACAGCGTCCCATTGATATTCCCAGTCCATACATATCTCACATCATCTATGCATACTTTGATGCATTGCATGATCTCAATATAATCAGCATCTTCTCAATGATATAAATAATTCATTATCTTCAATCAAACTTGACAAATCTACCAAGTACTCAATTTATCATTACCTCATTCACTCATCGTAATCATTTAACACATCAAATACAAATCGATCATGATAATATCTCATCCACGTCATCATTAATCAAAGCATTCATCATATCAACATTTTCACAAAATATCTCAGTAATATTTATATTTACCAATCACATTTATACCAATCGATATTCTAATCACGTCATACTCATACACGTCAATCGTATCACTATCACTCAATATCCCTGTCATCATCATCATCATCATCATCATCATGCCATAATCATACATATCAATATATATTTTATTCGTCATCAAATCATTTTGTCATACGAACCATATAATAACAATAAAAATACATCAAATTATCCATATCGTTCTTTAACTAATTTCATCAACATATCAACTAAACATATTACTATCAAAATCTTGTTTTCATGAATTCATATTAATAACTTGAAACTATTCTAAAAAGGACCATACCCAATATATAATTCTCATGATTATCAAAAGTTATTTTGAAAAGGTCTCCCTTAATAACACATCTCTCAATAATTATTTTGTAAAATACAATCTACATCATCGTTCCTCAAAATACATTAATAAGATTATCTTCAATATTTCAATTAAATACTCAATTAACTATTACTAAAAATTAGTCTCAAAATGTAACTTAACTTCAATCTTAATTAAAATAACTCGTGATGATAATCTTACCATCATATTCAGTTTATAATAATTTTGCCTTAAATCGCCATTATTCTAAAAATCGTAATATAATCTCTTTAATAACAAAACGACATAGAAACCGGTTTCATCCATCTAAAAATCCAACCAAGATCACAAATCCATTGCTGTAATTATTATGACCAGAATTCCTTCTCGTATCTAATCCAATTTATAAATTCACAATTTCAACCTTTTTAAAGTCATAACATCAATTAATTCCAAAAACTCAATTATTACCAATATAATGATTCTCATGGTAATATATCATGACTAATGTCGTCTCAAGATTCCTTAAATTTCTTTTCCATATTCTGATCTAAATAGACATTTTCATAAAATATTCGGAGTTCACCATATACGTCAACAATTCCAATACGAGATTAATAATTATTATTATCATAAAAATCAGTTAACTTCATCAACAATTTCATCCAAGATCACAATCATGAATCAATCACAAATCCATCATAATCATTAATCATCAACTCAATCATGCGTATTTAGAAATAAACACGTAATTCCGGTTCCCTTTTACCGTAAGCCACACACCTTATTTATGACGAAATCCGATTCTGTGAAAGCTCTGAAAATTCCAGATCTTGGTTTCGTAATATTCTCCTCATTCTCACAGTCCTGTAGGCGAAAACGGTTCGTCGTTTGGACGTCAAACGAACGAATTGTGGACAAAATACTAATTCTGTCAAAACACGAAGTACCAGGTACCAAATCTAACATTTTCCAGTCAACTGAATCCTGTTGATCGTGACCTCTTAGGAAAATTACGTCTAGGTCCTCTACATTTTCGAACACCCAGAAATGATACCTGAGTTTTGTAAAACGACAGTTTTACGTTGCAAACATGCAAAGCTCGATTCTTGCTCGCCCGACGTCGAAAACGAGTTTCGTCGAAATGTGCACGCTCCTGGAGTCATCCTCTTCGTCATGGTACCAGCCTTTTGGAGTTTTGTTGAAGTCGACGACGCCGGTGCCGCCGGTGCAACTTTCCGACGAGCCTCCCATGAGCTTCTACGAACTTCCAATGGCGATTCTGACTTCGTATTTAGCTTCCGGACACCTTGATTACTCTAACACAACCCACAGGAGCTTGGTTCCCTCTCTTTTATTTCATTCTCTCGTCTTTCCTCTCAAGGCTTTTCGTCCGTTCATGGCGGTGGTGAAATGAAAAGAAGAAAGAAAGCTTTCCATTTGTTTATCAAAGCCTACCCTCTCTCAATTATCACACGCCAACAGGAAGTGGTGGGCGATTAAAGGCTGTCGGTTGGTAAGATTTTAACAAAGTCAGTTTCCAGCTCAAGCTTTGCTGGAAGTGGGGTGTAGAGGTGGTGGAATGTAAACCAATTTTAAAATGAATAAATTGGATTGGCTATTTAATTCCACCATCCGGTCCAAAACTTAATATTAAAGGAAAGATTCAATGGTAGATAGTTAATGGAAAGTTTCATTGTGGAAATGCTCCTTCTGAAATCTTCTCCTTGTATATACGATCGTGTGGGCGCAATCGGCTCGTCGTTTTGATTCCAAACGAAGAAGTTATGACCAAATTAGAGTTGGTACGGTCGTTATTTCAATAACGAAGTCTATACTTCAAAATGACATATCTCACTTGTTTGAAAATCCAAACTTAGTTCCGTAAAATTCTACGTGATCGTGGAAGAATTTTCTAACTTGTGAAATCGGGATTTGTTCTAAATATCTGATCCATCATTCCAGAATATTCGTCATTTTCATAAACCATTCGTTGAGGTCGCAATTTCTTCGAGTATGGTTGAAATTCTTGATTCCTCATCAAACCGAATTGATTTATATATTGCCCGAGGTTTGGGATGTTACAAAACTGCTTATGTTACTTGGTTGTCAAATGTGGTCTTCGTGCCAAAGCCGTCAGGAGATTGGAGGATGTGCGTGGACTATACGAGCCTCAATAGAGCGTGCCTCACGGATGCCTACCCGATGCCCCGAATAGACCAGCTGGTGGATTACACGGCATATCATGAGATGCTAAGATTTGCAGACATGTTCTCCGGGTACCATCAAATTCCCATGGCAGAGGAAGACCGGTCAAAGACGGCTTTCATGACGCCCTTCGGGAACTTTTGCTACCGGGTCATGGCATTCGGGATAAAAAATGCGGGCGCCACCTATCAGAGAATGGCCAGCAACGTCTTCCGCAAACAAATCGGCCGTAATGTGGAGGCCTACGTGGACGACTTGATAGTCAAAATTCGTAGGCGTGAGGATCACCTGGAAGACTTGCGGGAAACGTTCCAAGCTATGCGGGCGCACAGGCTTCGCCTCAACCCCCTCAAATGTGTGTTCAACACCGAAGCAGGGAAATTTTTGGGATTCATGATCACTAAGCGAGGCATCGAAGCCAACCCGAAGCAGGTGGACGCTATCCCCAGGCTGACACCCCCAAAGACGCCCAAAGAGGTGCAAGGCTTGGCAGGAAGGTTAGCGGCCCTTGGGCGCTTCATCCCACGGTCCGCAGATAGAGCCGCTCCTTTTTTCCGGACGCTCAAGAAGGCGGTGCGTTTTCAATGGAATACTGAGTGCGATGGGGCGTTCGAAGAATTGAAGCAACTCCTAGCCGCCTCGACCTTAATGACGGTGCCCAAGGCGGGGGAGACGCTGTACCTTTATATCGCCGTATCAGAAGTCTCAGTAAGTGCAGTCCTCGTCTCAAGGGAGGCCCCCTCTGGAGAAGACAAACTAGTATACTATGTCAGTCGTACCATGGTCGCCCACGAAAGGCGATATGCACCCATCGAAAAGGCCGCATTGGCAGTTGTGATGGTCGCGGCCAAGCTGAGGCCCTACTTCCTGGCACACACCATCGTAGTACTCACCAACCTTCCGTTGAAGTCCACATTGGGGTCAATGGATGTGGCTGGGCGCCTTGACAAATGGGCGGTCCAGCTAAGTGAGTTCGACATTCGGTATTCGCCCCGACCGGCGATAAAAGCCCAGGTCTTGGCAGATTTTGTTGCGGAAGGAGTAGTAGAGGCAGAGCGGGGGGTAGATGACTGTTGGCAAGTTCAGGTCGATGGGGCGGAAAGTCGCATTGGTGCCGGGGCATGCATCGTGATTATAAGCCCAGGAGGCGCAATGCATGAAGTTGCATCGTGATTTTAAGCCGGCATGAGCATGGCCAAGGAGTTGGGCGTCCATAAGGTCCAAATCAGGTCCGATTCGGCCCTCGTCGTTAATTAGCTCAACGGAGTCTTTGAGGTAAAGGAAGAGGCACTGGAAGGGTACGTACGAAGAGTTCGAGAGATGGGAGCCTGGTTCGGGGAAATCTCCTTTGTCCACGTCCCACGAGAAGAGAATGCCCATGCAGACACCTTATCAAATATAGCGACCGCAGTGGACTTCGCGAAAGAGAGGAAAGTCATTGTCACCGCCGAAGCGCCCCATGAAAATCTTGTCGCTGCCCTATGCGATGTGGGCGCCACCTCCGGTTGGATGGCACAAATTGAGTTATTTTTTACCCAAGCCGTGGTGCCTGAATACCGAAAGAAGCCTGGCGGCTCCGCCAAAAAGTAGCACGATGTTCCATAATCGTGGAAAAATTGTACAAGAGGTCTCATGCGGGAGCATACTTGAGATGCCTGAACGAAGAAGAGAGTAGGGGGCAATTGAGGTGGTCCATAGCGGAACGTGCGGCATGCACGCATGGGCACGAAGTCTAGAGAAGACGCTGCTCATGCAAGGTTTTTACTGGCCAACGATGAGAAGGGATGCAAGGGCACATGTTGATGCCTGCCACCAGTGCCAAGTTCACGCCAACGACATTCACATCCCGGCGGCGCCCATGAAAGGCAATTTGGGCGCCTGGCCATTTGCTCAATGGGGCATGGATCTCCTCGGCCCTTTCCCCAAGGCGCCCCGGCAGATGAAAGATAGTTGCAGTCGATTACTTCTCCAAATGGATCGAGACAGAACCTTTAGCCACAGTCACAGAAGCCCAGGTGCGAAAGTTCACCAAGAAGAATATATTCACTCGATTCGACTTGCCTGACTCCATTGTCCCGGACCATGGAAAGCAGTTCGACTGCAAGAAATTTGTGGAGTTTTGCGATGACAATTGCGTCGTGTTAAGATTTTCTTCGGTGGCTTACCCACAAGCGAACGGTCAAGCGGAGGCAGCCAACAAAAGTATCCTCCACGGGTTGCACACCCGGTTAGCAGGCGCCAAGGGTAAATGGGTTGAGGAGCTACCAAATGTCTTGTGGGCACACCTCACAACTTACAAAACTGCCACCGGGGAAACACCTAAATGGGTTGACCTACGGTAGCGAGGCAGTTATCCTAGCGGAAGTCAACATTCCAAGTTACCGTGTTGTACATTATGACCCAAGCAGCAATGACGAGGCGCGAACCAGCGAATTGGACATGGCAGACGAGTTAAGGGAGGTGGCAGCAATCCGCCTGGAAAAAATGAAGCGAAAAGTGGCCTGATACTACAACAAGAAGATGTGTGCCCATGGCATCCGTGAAGGCATCCTGGTCCTCAAATGTGATTTTTGTCCAGATGCCCGCAAGGGAAAATTGGCACCGAAATGGAAAGGCCCATATCGAGTCCGGGAGGGGGTAGGACCCGGAACCTTCAAGTTAGAACATACTGGCGGCAATGTGGTGAAAAGAACATGGAACGCACAAAACTTGCGAATTTACCGAGAGGGCACTGCACCAGGGGAGGGCGCCTCCACTTGAACACAGTCAGTGATGATACAAGGCAGTAGTAATTGTAAGTGTTTGTTTATGTGGTAAGCAAGTGTGTAAGCGCGTTCGTATTGTGACTAAAGCGCCCATAGTAATAGCGCCGCATCGTGTCCAAAGCGCCCAGTGTTATAGCGCCCCCAATAGTGACTTCTTGTTACATCCGCGATTTTGTACTAGTGATATAGTGCCCCCAATAGTGACTTCATGTTACATCCGCGATTTTGTACTAGTGAAAGCGCCCAACTTTGCGCCCAATGATTCAGAATGCTTGTGTGGAAATTAGTCGCACTCATGACTCGAACGACAAGAGAATACCTATTAAAGCGCCCAATGAATGCGCCGCTAAAAGCGCCCACAGCTAGTGCTCACCCCATATGCGTCGAGTACCATAACACCTGCTAAAGTGCCCGATAAATGCGCCCCTCAAAGCGCCCACAACTAGCGCCCCTCATAAATTCAGAATACCAAACAACACCAAGGCATGACATTAGAGCGTCTAAAGCGCCCGACCTCGTGCCCTATGTCCTAGATGCGAAGTTATTCTAAGACCATACAAAGCGCCAAACTAGGTATAACAGTAAGGAACTCTCTGATATAAGCGCACATCTATAACGCCCCACATATACGCAGAAATGCCAAACAACACCAACACATAAATGGGGACTCGGGGAAAGTCGAGAAGAGCGAACTTAACACATTCATAAAAATAAAATTGTTCATACAGAAAGAAGGAAAAATTAAAGTACACAGGAGGGCAAAATATGGTAAGGACATCATTCAGCCCCGGAGGTAGCATCCTCAGTGTGGGGAGCTTGCTCTTCGGGAGATGGAGGCGCCTGATCTTCAGGAGCAGGAGGCGCCCGGTCTTCCGGTGCGGGTGGCGCATCTGCTGCTGGCGTCACGGGCGCCCCCTCTTTCCTCCTCTACACCCTCCATATCCTGAATCACAAACTCAGCCATCTCAGTCACATCCCAGACTTGGTCCGAGTGATCTCGGTCAAGCTTCCTCTTCAGGATACCCAGAGTGGTCAAGCAGGCGTTGGCGAACAAGTTCTTGCCGGCCTCGGACTACTCAAAGTTATCAAGGGAAGTCTTCAGACCCGCAATCTCTTTGCGAGCCGCCTTCAACGCCTTCTTCTGCTCCCTTTTGGCGCCCCACAGCCTTTCCTTCTCCTCCTTGAGAAGTTCAATCTCACTAGCCTGGGCGCCCGCCTCCTTCGCTAGCTCCTCCTTCTCCGATTCAAGCTTCTCCACCTTCTCCTGCAACTCCCTCCACTCCACCTCGAATTCAGCCTCACATTTTTGGCGCTCCTCCTCCAGGACGCCTTGCAGACGGGACAATTCCAGCGCTGCCTTCAGCTGGGCGTCCTCGCATTACTGCACCAGCTGCTCGCGGCGCTTGGACGCCGTCTCCAAGTCCTCCTTCAAGGTGGACGCTGAACTCGAGGCGGCCAGTGCCTCTTCTTTTGACTCTAGCAGCCGTCGGACGCCCCTTTCCGTGAAAAGGAGGATCTATGACAAAAACACCAAGGAGTCAGACACATAAAAACACTAAGTAAAAAACACAAGGCAAACTGAATGAGGTGAAATGAATGGTAAAGTCACCTTGGCGCCCACTTGGGCCAGCTCAGCGAAAAGGTGGTCTCCATTAACCGCAGAGGCCACCTGCCACATCTTCGCGGCAGAAATCGCCAACCCCATGGCCCACCCGCGGTCGACCGCGGACAACGGAGAGCAGGGAAGAGCAATGCGCCCAACCTCAGTACGCCTCGGCCGAATAACAGGCGGGTGCCCATCAGCGTCAACGTAGTGCCCCTCTTCGTTCAAGTGGACGCGGGCGCCTTGTCCCTCAGCAGGGCTTTGGGCCGCGGCTGGGGCCTTTCCCTTCTCGCTTTCGCGAGCCTTCTTCCCACCACGAGGAATGGGGGAGCCCGCTCTTTTCTCCCTCCGAACTAGCGAAGGCGCCTCCTCCTCCTCCGATTCCTCTGCATTGGGTGTAGGATCGAAGACAGGTTCCCCAGCGTTCGGTTCGGGGGCGGATGATGCCACGCTTGCAGTCTTGGCGCGCCTGGGCGCCTTGGACGGGGCAGCCTTTGTAGGGGCCTTCTTCGACGCCTGTCCCTTTTTTGGTGCCGGAGGTGATGGCGCCTGTGTACGGGCAACAACGGAAGGCACCCCGGCTGCCATCATCGCCGGCCGACTCTTGATCAGCTTCCCAATGGAACTAAAGTATGATCCTGCACATACCAAAATAACAGGTTAACACAAAGAATACAAAGGGGAAAACACGGTAACTATAAAAGGGCGCACACACACCATCGTTGTAATACTCCTCCAAAACTCTAAGTTGATTCGCAGTTATGCGAAGGTTAACCGGGTGCGTGCTAATAAGCTGGGCGCCCCGGGTCTCTTCGGACGAAAGTTGGACCTCCGAGTTGAAGCCCTCAATGCTTCCTAGCGCCTAGTGCCTCACGAAGGCGCCCCCACTTTCGAAGAAAGAATCTTGGTAGGCTTTCACGAAGAAAAACCCGTTAAACCAACTACGTACCAGCTTGGGGCACCTAACGACGAAGTGATATGGGCGCTTAGTACGCTTCTGTAGAGAGAGACAGTTTTCCAGTGGCGCCACGATAAAAAACCAGCTGAAAAGATTGAAGGTGGGCCTCACGTTGTGCACCTGGCACTTGAACTTAAACAACGTCACCACCACCATCACCGAAGGGGACAGGCGCCCCAACGGGCACTCGCACATCATCAGGATCCCTTCCAGGATGGGGTCTATGGGAAATCGCAACCCAAACCTAAAGTATTCCTGGTAGACCCCTATCCACTTAGGTCCCCACACGCCAACCCTAGAGATGGCCGACGGAGGCGCGTACCACTAGTCACGAGGGAGATGAAGACTGGTCACCAACTCATGAACCCGCGCCAGGGTCATAGTCGATTGATGCTCCTGGCCAGCCTCCTCGACGAAAGGCCGGTAGTATCAGTTGGCAGATGATCTGGGGGAAACATCCTGTCCCAAGAGGTGATCTTATAAGAACCATCGGCTGGCACGTAACCCAGGGTGAAGGCGCTCGCTCCTCCCGCAGACTCAGGCGCCCTCTCTAAACCAAGAATGAACTAGACGTACAATTCCGAGTCGAAGTAAGAATCTCATTCACGCCTAAAACCTACAAGAACAGTTAGGAGTCCAGGACAGGGCGCTTACCAGAGACAAAGGGACAAAGAGAGGTGCCCGCGCCTAGGGGTGTCAGTTCGGGTCGGGTTTGGTTACCCGAACCGAAACCCGAAACCTAAAACCGAAACCACTAAAACCGAACCCAAACATGATAAGGACTTGCGGGTTTCGGTTACCCAAAACCCAAAAATTCCTTATCGGGTTCGGGTTCGGTTAAAGCAAAACCGAAACCCGAAAACCCGAACTCCTAAAAATACGGGTTGAGTTCTATTCATTGGAGGTTTTTAGCCGGAACTAGAAAAACCGAATAGCAAAACCAAACCCAAAACCCGAAACAAACCCAAAACCAAAAAACCGAAAATGTATATAATCGGGTCGGTTTTGGGTAAACCCAAAAAACCGAAACCGAATGGACACCCCTACCCGCGCCAGAGTGTGAAGGGCGAGCCGACGTGGGGCCCGCTTCTTGACCAGCGAAGCGATTGGGGGAGGAAACCCGCGTCGGGAGAACGATTGGGGGAGGCGCCCTCATTGGAGGATCGATTGGGGGAGGCGCCCGCATCGGAAGTTCGGTCCCGAGGAGAGGCCATTTGATTGCGAGGTGGCGACGAGAAGGTCGGCGGCGGAGAGTTTCGAATCTTAGAGAGAAGGCAGAGCAAATCTAGTGAGAAGGCAGAGCGAAAATGAAGAGAGAGAGCGAAATGAGGAAAATGACAAAGAAAGGGGAGGAGGGGATATTTAAAGGAAGGAAGGGCGCGTATCGAAGATCGCGCCAACTAACATGTGTCACCTAGTCACGGGCGATCCGTTGAGCTCCCCTCTTTTCGAATTTCAAATTTTGACTTTCAAAATTTGGAATTGGAATTTAAAAAGAATATCCTAAAATCAAGACTCAAATTCCCGCCCGTGAGGGGGGCACCCAGGCGCCCTGATCAGGCGTTAGGGATTCCTCCGGCGGCTGCTCGACGGGACGGGACGCCTATACCCAACACCAGACGGTTCGTGCTCCCGTACGTTGATATCTTTTGAAGATCACATTATAGATCCAACGCTTGAAGTGGCCCCCATCAGAAGTGACGATGTTCTGTCAAAGAAACGGACGGTATACTGGCGCAGGCCGGGCCTGTCAGGGAAACAGTATGGAGAAAACGGATTGAAGGCGTGATTTTGATCACTCTCCTAAGAGTGTTTATTTGCCCCCACTACTTAGTTGCTAGTAGGATTTAGGCAAACCACCCCCAAGAGTCCCTCCAATCAAAGTCAGAAAGCAGAACCTTTCGTGACTTCTGTGTTTGTGTTTTTGGAGAAGGAAAAAACGAGGAGAAGAAGATAATCGTTTTACGAAAAGTTCGGTTGCAGAAGACGTTTTATAGTGAAAACGGCAGTTCCCTTCCGAAGGGTTACGTCGTTTCACAAAAGTCAAAATCAAATAATCATCCGGATTAATTAATTAAAATAATTTCGGTAATTATTTAGCCAAAAATTCAAATCCGAACGCGTCGCGCAAAAAAGTCCGCATGCGGCCCCTAACAAACCATTGTGATGAGCATTCTTGAAGCCCACGAAGCTGATGCTGGATTCTTTGAGAAGTCGCCTTAGGATAAACGGGACGGAGTCTTTGTTGTGCATCACCAGTTGAAAGACCGGCGGCGCAGATTTGGACGGTGTGGGCGGTAGGGATTCCTCCGGCGGCTACTTCACGGGACTGGACGCCTATACCCACCACCAGACGGTTGTCGTGCTCCCGTACGTTGATATCTTTTGAAGATCACATTATGGATCAAATGCTTGAAGTGGCCCCCATCAAAAGTCACGATGTTCTGTCAAAGTAACGGATGGTGTACTGGCGCAGGCCGGGCTTGTCAGGGAAACAGTATGCAGAAAACGGATTGAAGGCGTGATTTTGATCACTCTCCTTAGAGTGTTTATTTTCCCCCACTACATAGTTGCTGGTAGGATTTAGGCAAACCACCCCTAGGAGTCCCTCCAATCAAAGTCAGAAAGCAGCACCTTTCGTGACTTCTGTGTTTGTATTTTTGGAGAAGGACAAAACGAGGAGAAGAAGATGATCGTTTTATGAAAAGTTCGGCTGCAGAAGACTTTTTATAGTGAAAAGGACAGTTCCCTTCCGAAGGGTTACATCGTTTCACAAAAGTCAAAATCAAATAATTATCCGGATTAATTAATTAAAATAATTTTGGTAATTAATTAGCCAAAAATTCAAATCCGAACGCGTCGCACAAAAAAGTCCGCATGCGGCCCCTAGCAAACCATTGTGATGAGCATTCTTGAAGCCCACGAAGCGGATGCTGGGTTCTTTGAGAAGTCGCCTTAGGATAAATGGGACAGAGTCTCTGTTGTGCATAGCCAGTTGAAAGACCGTCGGCGCAAATTTGGACAGTATGGGCGGTAGGGATTCCTCCGGCGGCTGCTTCACGGGACTGGACGCCTATACCCACAACCAGACGGTTGTCGAGCTCCCGTACGTTGATATCTTTTGAAGATCACATTATGGATCCAACGCTTGAAGGGGCCCCTATCAGAAGTACCGTTGTTATGTTAAAGAAACGGACGGTGTACTTGCGCAGGTCGGGCCTTTAAGGGAAACAGTATGGAGAAAACAGATTGAAGACGTGATTTTGATCACTCTCATTAGAGTGTTTATTTGCCCCCACTACTTATTTGCTGGTAGGATTTAGGCAAACCACCCCCAGGAGTCCTTCCAATCAAATTCAGAAAGCAGCACCTTTCGTGACTTCTCTGTTTGTGTTTTTGGAGAAGGAAAAAACGAGGAGAAGAAGATGAACGTTTTACGAAAAGTTCGGCTGCAGAAGACATTTTATAGTGAAAACGGCAGTTCCCTTCCGAAGGGTTACGTCGTTTCACAAAAGTCAAAATCAAATAATTATCCGGATTAATTAATTAAAATAATTTCGGTAATTAATTAGCCAAAAATTCAAATACGAACGCGTCGCGCAAAAAAGTCCGCATGCGGCCCTTAGCAAACCATTGTGATGAGCATTCTTGAAGCCAACGAAGCGGATGCTGGGTTCTTTGAGAAGTCGCCTTAGGATAAACGGGACAGAGTCTCTATTGTGCATCGCCAGTTGAAAGACCGCCGATGCAGATTTGGACGGTGTGGGCGGTATGGATTCCTCTGGCGGCTGTTTCACGGGACTGGACGCCTATACCCACCACTAGACGGTTGTCGTGCTCCCGTACGTTGATATCTTTTGAAGATCACATTATGGATCAAACGCTTGAAGTGGGCCCATCAGAAGTGACGATGTTCTGTCAATCGAAGTCAGAACAACCCACTACTTAGTTGTTGGTAGGATTTAGGCAAACCACCCCTAGGAGTCCCTCCAATCAAAGTCAGAAAGAAGCACCTTTCGTGACTTCTGTGTTTGTGTTTTTGGAGAAGGAAAAAAAGAGGAGAAGAGGATGAACGTTTTAGGAAAATTTGGCTGCAGAAGACTTTTTATAGTGAAAATGGCAGTTCCCTTCCGAAGGGTTACGTCGTTTCACAAAAGTCAAAATCAAATAATTATCCGGATTAATTAATTAAAATAATATCGATAATTAATTAGCCAAAAATTCAAATCCGAACGCGTCGCTCAAAAAAGTCCGCATGCGGCCCCCAGCAAACCATTGTGATGAGCATTCTTGAAGCCCACGAAGCGGATGCTGGGTTCTTTGAGAAGTCGCCTTAAGATAAACGGGAGGGAGTCTCTGTTGTGCATCGCCAGTTGAAAGACCGCCGGCGCAGATTTGGACCGTGGGGGCGGTAGGGATTCCTCCGGCGGCTGCTTCACGGGACTGGACGCCTATACCCACCACCATACGGTTGTCGTGCTCCCGTACGTTGATATCTTTTGAAGATCACATTATGGATCCAACGCTTGAAGTGGCCCCCATCAGAAGTGACGATGTTCTGTCAAAGAAACGGACGGTGTACTGGCGCAGGCCGGGCCTGTCAGGGATACAGTATGGAGAAAACGGATTGAAGGCGTGATTTTGATCACTCTCCTTAGAGTGTTTATTTGCCCCACTACTTAGTTGCTGGTAGGATTTAGGCAAACCACCCCCAGGAGTCCCTCCAATCAAAGTCAGAAAGCAGCACCTTTCGTGACTTCTGTGTTTGTGTTTTTGGAGAAGGAAAAAACGAGGAGAAGAAGATGAACGTTTTACGAAAAGTTCGGCTGCAGAAGACTTTTTATAGTGAAAACGGCAGTTCCCTTCCGAAGGGTTACGTCGTTTCACAAAAGTCAAAATCAAATAATTTTCCTGATTAATTAATTAAAATAATTTCGATAATTAATTAGCCAAAAATTCAAATTCGAACGCGTCGCGCAAAAAAGTTCGCATGCGGCCTCTAGCAATGGCGTAGTCAGGAATTTTGCGAAGGTGGATCCAACGATAAAACAAAATCATAAAATAACTTACATTAATATTTTATAATGACCCACGACGTGTTTACATATTATGAAAATTATGTAATATACATTCATCATCCAAACTCTAAAAGATGTCACTCTCAATGTAACTATCCAAAAAGTTATACATGATTTAATCACTCATCCAATTTCGAAGTGTGTTCTTCATGAAGTTCATTGAAAAAATGTTTTTTCAACACTTGAAGTGGCATCAGGTACCGACAACGCAAATTTCAGAAGCCGATACACCAATGAAAACCTTCTATATTTTATTATACAACCATTTCTCTATCTAGCAAGCTAGCCGTTTAATTAGCTTAAGTAGGCAATTGATTAGGGAATAAGGATTATCTTGAAAGGGGAGTTGATAAATGATAATTTAACTAAGAAGCAATGAACTAAAGTAAACCGCCAAGCTTGGATTCCATCAGTTGGTAACTCCAAACTGGAATTTGGTAATCGGAGCAACAAATTTGATTAGAAAGACTTGGTACGACGGACGGGTACGGTGGTGGGTGAGAGTTCGCCGCTTGCCTTTGGTTGAAGAGGCAAGTCGATGGACAGCAGAGATGTCTTTGGATAACAACAATTAGGGATTGAGAATTCAATAATAAATAATTTGTTGGGATTTGGGAGACTGTTTATGCTTTAACTGAATTTTTTTTTTGCATAACAAGGAGGCCGAAGCCAAAGAAAGAGAAGGATTATAGGAGGAGATTAACTGAGAGGGGGATGGTTAGCCACAATTCGGCGTTCAAAGGTAGTGCCTCTAGCATCATCCTGAAGAATCGCAACCATGCTCATAGGTGGATCGGTCAGCTCATACATGTCGTAAGGATAGACGAGACTATGCTTCGAAAGCCAGTCCGCGACTCTATTCCCTTCTCGGTATGTATGGGCCAGACTAACCAACTAAATTAAAATATACTAATAAATGACATTGGGTACATAATAAATAGTTTTGTGTAGCTCAGTGGAAGAATGCAATCCAATTCTCAAGAGGGCCAAGCGTCAAAGACTCAAAGCCCAGAATCAGCACATACAAGGGGATATTTTTACTGTTCTCAAGCCCAAGGTGGGTCCCAAGACCCACCACTAATGGGCTGCCTCCGCCACTGCCTCCAAGATTCGTCAATCCAGCAACGGAAACCCCACCTCAATCACCCAAGAGAAACCCCACTACTCTACCTCCATTACCTCTAACCCTGCCGCTGTCTCAGTTGAAGCCACTGCCCGAACCCGTACCCCACTTTTCTCCCAAGGCAGAGCAGAAGATCGTGGTGCTCCAGAAAAGGGTGGAGAACCAATCTTCCACGAAGAAGTTATAGTCCAGCGGGATCGGATGAGAGGGCTGCGCCAGGAATCCTCTGATGGGTCTTCAAGCCAAGGAAGAGAATCACAGAACGAAGAAGAATCCTTCAGATATGGAAGACAAGGGGATGAAGATCATCAACATCTCAAGGGAAAACAGAGGAGCGTTGATGGAACTGTTCCGTTCTCCCTGAAAATTGGGAAATTTGTATCCAGGGAACCCTCGTTACCTCCACAACAGAGGGAGTCTGGGAACCAGCTCCGGCAGCAGTAATGGGGAAGACGGGGAGGGGAAGAAGAAGAAGTAGAGAGTTGGGTGGTGGGCGCAGTCCGGTGAGGGCTTTTCAATTTTTACCCCGTAATTTTTTTTAATTGAACTATTATCCACATAGATATTTACAGACAAAATTGGAATAAGACCTTGCTACGTCAGCATCTCCGTTTGTCCAGTTCGACTTAACGCTAACACCGTTAAAGAATTGGACGGAACTGGTTATAAGTGATACTTCCCCAAATTTGGCTATTAACGACACAAACGCGAAAGTTTTGGCTATACAAGTGTATTTTGCCTATTTTTATATCATGAAATTTCATAGTAACTAGTAGCTTAACAATCTATGATACATAATTTCTCTTTTAAATTATAACTGAGACATATTTGCTCGCATACTCAAAGTCTAACATTATATGCGGTGGTGAGATGTACAATTTAACAAGCTTATGTTATTAATAAGAAACCCATAAGATATAGATTGATATGCTCATAAGTCGGTATTCGTGTTAGCTCCTTAGCCGCAATGATGAGACATTTCATTAGCTCAAAACCAGACAGTTCACAAGTTGAGCTCAACAAGACACAAAATTGAGTTGACTCGCTACGCGAACAAGGCGTAGATCAAACTCGACTCACTAATATACGAGCCAAGATTCGAACGAATTTTTCTCGAGTCAAACTTTGAGCTGCGCATGAACTACTCAACTAATTAACGGGCCTACTCCCACTTCCCTCCTACCCGCTCGCTTATCTCTCTCTATCATCAATAATACGAATCTTGTGCTGGTTCTGCCCACATCCCCTACGCCATCATCGATGGCAACTACGGTACTGGTGGTACGCCCATTACTTTGGTCCTGGACATCCGAATCCTCCCTCGCTGGTAGAAGTAGAAACAACCATGACCTACATTCCAGATATGCAACGCCTTGAGAGTGTTAGGGCCGATTATCATAAACGGTTACACAACTTATCATTTAGTACAAAACGCTAACTAAAATTTAATTTTGTACGTTTCAATAAATAACCATTGCACGGATAACAAGAAGGTCATTTCGTCCATTCTCCATCCAAATATTTGTCAACTCTATACAGTCAGCATGCCACATCACTAAAAAATTAATAAACCAAACTAATTAATCTCAACCAAACCACACTCAACCCACCTTAATATTATACCCTAATGCCCTTGACTTGGAGATAGACAAATTGTATTTAGGTCAACCCACCTTAATATTATACCCTAATGCCTTTGACTTGGAGATAGACAAATTGTATTCAGGTTCTCTTTGTGGAGAAGTAGGTATTCGTCTCTCCAATTCATCAACTACTCTCGGGGATATCACTCTAAAGAACTACAGTCTGAGGGATCATATTTCCTAGTGCCCATTGCCTAGAGACGAAGAATCCAAACGTTTGGAATTGAAGTCCAAGGATCAAGAAGCCCAAATCACGGAGAACCCTAACGGCGAGCCCAACCAATGTACTACCGCTCTTTCTTGCTTCATAATGGGCCGATTCTTCCTCCTATGGGCTTGGTTTGACATAATCTAGCAACTTCTAGTTGACTTCTCCATCATTGGACCACTCCTTTCTTGTGAATGATCCATAAACTTCTCTTGATAGCTCATTTGGTCCTTCAGAGTTCTCTAATGTTTGATCCAATCTTCCGTAAATTACTTTGTACCTTCAAAACCATTAAAAGTATACCTAGAAGGTATCAAATAGTACAAAAACATTGCCTAGGTCTATTAAAAGCTCATTAATCAAATAGTTTTGATTTGACAAGAAATACCATTGAAATGACTAAAGTTGCTTCAATAGAAGGGGAAATGTATCAAATATGGGGGTGACAAACACTATAAATAAATTGTTATCAGGAAGACCAATTGAGGACTTTGATTTTCTTTCTATTAACTACCAATAGTAACAACAGAGCTAGATATTATTTTATTTGTAATGTGATGGTCATCGGTTCAACTCCGATGCCTGGCTTTTCTATTTGTTTGATTTTTTATTTTTACATTTTTGTTAATTCAATAGCTTTTGCAAAATGAAACTATACTTTTTAATTGTTTGACTATAAATTCTACCAAAAATGTGTATAATGCATTGTATATCCCATAAATAGGTCTCATTCTTCTACCCTTTCCCGTTTGGCACCTCGATGTCGCTCTTCTCCACCTAGGGGTTGTAGTATGTTGGCACATTATATAACAAATAAAAAAGAAGCGGAACCATAATCGAGTATTTTTATGATCTTTGATACCAGATCGTACCACCATAAGTGGCCCCCATAGTAAGAAATAATATAGTCTGTTCTATGAGTCGCGGTAATGATTCCTCTGGATGATTAAATCAACAAGCCCCAAAATAGTGCCTCTCGCCAAACAATCATCCACTAAATTTGCTCAACAATTGATTGTGGTCATTGGACCATGGAAATCGCTTGAGCAAGAAGGAACATCCTGTTTGGTAGACATGACACTACGAGTGAATGAAAATTGTTAGAAACCGAACAAGAAAAAGAGGTTTACCGATCTAGATGAGTCGCAGAATAGGTTCTCTCTTTAAGACGTTCAAGACATTGCCTTGTTTGTGCACAACAAACTATCAGTCGGTCGCTTTCAGAATAAAACAACCACTTTATTTCTCGGTTTGTGCGAAAACCGAAGTTCAATGAAGAACACTCTCTTTCATATTTTTGCTCTCTTTTTCGTGTATCTAGAGAGTCAGAGGAGTCCGTTATTTTTAAGAGAAAACAACCATGAATATGCACTCTTTAGTGGAGAATAAGTCACGTCTATGGATTACCTCCACTGTTCAATGTTGGAATAATTCTAAATAATTTTAATAGTAAATTAGGGTTCATAGGAGCTGGAATAAAAGTTGTAGTAGATTTCTTGAAGCTGAGTTACCTAAGCTGTTGCTTTTGTGAGTTTCAGATGACATGTTATCAGTCAAATGAACTGACCAATGATGATCAATTGACAAAATTAACAGAGACGCAACATTACACTAGGATTGTCATTTCAAAAAGTTCATGTTAGACATGACACTTCTTGAAAAAAATGGGTCATTGATCAATGACTATCAATGATGAAAGTTAACAAAAATAAACATCGTGATAGGATTGTCATTTGAAAAAAAATTATGTTAGAAATTACATTATTTTTTACAATCTTGTTGTTCTAATGAGATTTTCATGCTAATTGCACTTTTCCCCGTCTAATAGGCGTGCAGAGGGTAGGGTTGCAAATGAGTACAGTTTTGACTTATATCGGTCACAACTCGTGATAACGATTCGCTTGTTTACTAAAAATTTGGCTCGTCTTTGGCTTCAGCTCTACTCATTAATAATTTTACGAGTTCTATTTTAAACATCCCAGTACTTTTACCCAAACGAAATACTTGTGGCTCCGGAGCCGGTTAAAAACAAAGCTCAAAATCCAAATACCACTTACTCATTTCCAAGAAAAACATCAAATGCAATGCCCTAAACACATGGGAAACTTCAAACCATAGTCAATAAAATTTAACCTTTGGACATCCAGTTATACTCATAATCATAAACATAAATCACTAAACAAACTCTAACGCTAACTCCTTGCAGAGCTCTCTGAGATCTTGTCCACGTTGGTGCGACTGCTCGCCTCGCCCTTCCTCTTCTCGAAATTCACCAATGTTATTCCCTTCCTCAACCTGGTGAGTGAGAAGGGGTCGATCTCGTCGTTACTTTCTAAGGTCTTTGCCCTAAGCAATCTCCTTACTAAAACATGTTATTAGCATTTCCTTTCCCTATATGAAAGTTGTTCTCGCTCTCATCCTCAATACCTTATTCCAACGTTAACTCATAGAAGTTCTCGACTTCTATCACTAGAGTCTATCGTGTTACGTCTCGCTGTTCGGTTGCATACCCAACTCAACAATGGTCTGCGCTACGTCTCGTCGTCCAGTACCATGCCCAATCAACTGTTGCATTACGTATCGCCGTCCAGCAGTGATCTGACCATCTATTGTGTCCTATAGTGGCCCAACCGCCCGAGTTTTCTCTTACCATCAACACACACATTCATACATACACAAGCACAACGCATGCCTCCACCTTCGGTAGGCGGTGAGATGCCTCACACACATAATCGCGTATAATTCAAAAATTAACTAGCATTACTTATAGTAAATGCATAAACCAAAAGACCTACAACTGAGATATTACTCCCTTTACACTCACCTCGAAAATTCGACTCTTCGCCCCTTTGCCTGAAGGATTTCCTCCTCGACGAACTATCTCGATATCCTATAAATCATACCACCCTTTTAGACGGTATATTCACCGGATTAAAAACCCCCTTTTCTACGGTTAATCCCTCCTCCTTATAAAACAAGCCTTTTTCCTATATAATTTTTTCTTCCGATAATTTTAGAGTAAGTCATACCTTCTGAAAGTTCCATATCACAATTTTTCCTACTTGGTAATAAGTACTAATCCCGAGAAAAATTATCCAAATTTCTGTAAACACCTTGCACGATTTTATTGAATTAAAATACGCGTATAATCAATTACTAAATATAGTAATTAGCCTTTTAAAATACCCAAATTAATTACCATTCCTCCACTGACCTTCTTCCCATTAAAAAAAATTATTTAACTAAAATTAACGATCCCACAAAGGTGCCAAATAAATATAAATTGCTTAAAATGCTATTCTGGAAATTTTGCAGCTTTAGTGACTACCTAGTTTCTGTCACTAAAAGCCCCGCAAAAACCGTCACTAAATCCCTGGATTTTCAAACATACGAAAACTTACCGGAAACGCAAATCTAATACGAAGAGGAACGCGTTTCCTTACCTCTAGAGGGTGCCTAGACCCAAGTGGATCGTCTTGAACGAAGACTCCTTGGATCGATTCAACCAACTAGAGGCCAAGAGATCGTAGAAACGACTGGGGGATGAATATCCTTACCTTCCCAAGACGTTTGAGCTCTCAGATGGTCGAGAAGAAAGACGAAATTGGAGGAGTTTAATGATATCACGGTTTGCCGGCGAACGGGGACGAACCGCCGGTTTCTTTCTCCCCTTTCCTTCCTCCTTCTTCCTCCTTTCTCCCCTCCTCCCTGTCCTTCGTATTCTGCTCGTTCAGAGCATTTGGTGATTTTAGGGAGATGAAAGTTGCAAATGGAGAGAGCAGAAAGGTTTGTCGACGCCGTGTTCTCTCCAACCGTCGCGCCTCATTCAGATTGTTTTTCAACGTTTTACGATACACCCAGTGACACGGTCTAGCAACTCGGGCGTGTTCAGGCCGTGTTACGCTTTGTCTTCGATTTCCTTCGAAACGATTCATCTAATTATTTACGATAATAAAAAAAGAAATTAATGGAACATTGTCTAGCCACACGGTCGTGTCCAAGACCGTGTTCATCCATGGTACGCTTCATTTTCGGCTTTCTCCAAACGACACGTTTGACCAAACACGGTCGTGTTACGACTCATATTCTGGCATGTTCCTCCTTCTTCAATGCTTTATTAATTTCAACGATCTTCCAATCTTTCGGTCAAACCTTAATAAAAAATAAACCCGAACTCGGGGTGTTACACTATTCGAGCTCACACTCATGAATAGAGGCGGAGCCAGGATTTCGAGACCGGGGGAGCTGAAAATAATTAAAATAAACTATGTAACCAATGTGGATCAAACCAATGTGCTTTAATACACAAGTTAAGCTTGGATACCATTAGACCACATAACTATTACATGACAAAATTTACAGAATAAGTTCTACTTATAAAATGTGTACTAAATATATCCTTAATAATCTAGGGACCGGAACCAATCCCGGAGGGCCGAGGCCCACCCTAGTTACAATGTAGCTCCGCCCCTGCTCATGAATCAACACGTGAGTTCGATGCGAGCTCCAATATCATATTATTCCGAACTGAATACCAAGCCGCTTGTGAGCCGTCGGCACTGCCTACATTTAGAACAGGGCTGAAGCTAGGCCGTACGTCCTGGCCCAAAACGGGAAAAAAGATAAGTGTCTTCGATCCTAGTACGAGACGGCCAACCTCCCCTTAAAATTGGGTATATATTCTCCGGTCTAGTCTACGGTGTGGCGAGTTGTATTCTTGTAACAACGGCGAGGTGACTTAGGGTTGGGGAGCAGGAGCGGTTTAGCCCTACGAAGCCAAACTTAAGAAAAAATACTCTGCCCTGCAAATCTCAACAATGAAGGACCAAATTCCGGGGGATCTGATCACTGATATCTTACGGATGCTTCCTCTTAGTGCGTGTATTGCTCGATTCCGTTGCGTCAGCAAATTATGGCGCGATCTTCTCTGTGACCCCTCTTTCATCCAGCAGAATCTATCGTCTTCTCGTTCTGACGACATCATTATGTTGACTAATGTGGACGGTGAACCGTCGACAGTGTACTCTCTGCTCTTTCCCGACACACTGGAGCCCCTCCACCATCAGCAGCTGCTTCCCTTCAATCCAGACCGTCATCACCATCCGATTGTACAAGTTGCAGGCTGCTGTAACGGTCTGTTCTGTATCATCGACGATAAATGCGAAAACGAAGGGCACGATGTGATTCTTTGGAATCCGGCAACCTCCGAGACCAAGGTTCTCCCTCCTTCTCCTTTCTTCTACCCCCACTTGTTTATTAATGCAGTTGGGTTTGGTTTCGATTCAGAGCAAAATGACTTCAAAATCGTCAGGCAGCTTATGAATCCCTTGCTGCGGTGGTGGTCTTGTGTGCTGGAGGTATACAGTCTAAAGAACAACTGTTGGAGGAAACTTGACGACGACAATGCCGGCGGCTATCATCCACAACTACCCTTTTGGCAAATTTCTCAATTTCACCGGGGGAAATTGTATTGGCGGCAGTCATCCAAGGACGTCGGCGGCCGCGGTACGTTGGTGTTTGATTCATTTGACTTGGTCAGTCAAAGTTTCGAAAGGGTGGAGGTGCCTCATCCCAGTGCGAAATTGGGTTTCTATGTTTCCGGATACTCATTCAAGGAGGATTCGATGCTGGTTGTCTTCCCCATTTATGATCATATGTTGGGCGCTGACACATCTTGGGAGATATGGATCCTTCTGAAATGCTGGAGATCAGAATCTTGGATCAAATTGTTTGTGATTACAACGCCTCCGGAAATGCAATTTCGATTCATAGGATTGACGACGAATCTCAAGTGCTTTTTCGTAGCCACTACAAGAAGATCATACAAAGGCTTCAACTATGATGGGGATGACTCTTGTTTTCTTGTCTTTCATCCCGATACGGGAAGAATTGGCCGTGATCTTAAAGTTATGTGGGATGAAGTCATAAGTTATAGGCCATCTCAAATTTCTTTGCAGGATTATTAATTACTATCCGAACGAGTTAGATATGTCTATGTGCTTGCGTGCGTGTTTAGATTGAATGATTAAGCGTGGGTTTGCATCAATTTGAGTATTAGAGGTGTTTTCATGGTGTATGTGCATGTTTGTGCTTAGCAACCTAAGGTTTGTGCATTTTTGTGCTTAGCAATCTAAGGGTTGTGCATGCCTGTGCTTAGCAATCTAAGGATTGTGCATGTTGGTGCTTAGCAACCTAATGTTTGTGCATAATTGTGCTTAGCAATCTAAGGTTTGTGCATGTTGGTGCCTACTATCTAGGTTAGAGACCCTTGCATCAAGTTTGCATCTAGGTTGGTTGTGATTAAGCCGCTCAAACTCCGGTTTGAGGGAGAGGCCTAGGAAACCACTAGTGACTGAGTGAGAGGATCGATCCCGTGACAAATCGATCTCTAGTGAATCCATCCCGTGACAAATGGATCACTAGTTGCTCCTCCTAGTGGTTCCCATAGACTTGGTGAGTGGATCGATCGCTAGTGATTTGATTCCGTGACAAATCGATCACTAGTTGCTCAACCCCACGGTTCACAACCACCTACGCCACATGACTGTATTCAACCCAACGAGTCATGATAGCTAGTTAGGGGTAATCAACTCCCGTGTGAAGCTCCCTTAGTTAGAGTTTTCCTTTATTTACTTTTCTTTTCTTTGCTTGTTTAGTTTGTAGTTTTCTTAGTTTGAAAACCCAAAACCGTTTTGCTAGATAACAACTTAAGCGATTGAAGTAGGGGTACATGGATCGACCCGAGTCGATATTTAAATACTTGCTCTATACTGCACCCGGCTAGAGTTTAAAAACTTGGTCTCTAGTCGGGATTAATTTGTGATGTAGTTTCGTGCGAGTCAGAAAATCAAATTGATGAAAATTAAATGAAGCCTTAGGAATGACATGCTGAACTAAATATACTGAACTAAATATACATATCATTGTTGATTGAGGTTAATTAGGTATTACAACTTCAAATTAAGAAATTAAGGACCCTTTCAGTACCAATAATGTTAGTACCGATAATACACATGAGGAAATAAAATGACTTCAACTGAACATATAAAGTATCAAAGTAAACATAAAAAAAAGACACTAAAGGTAAAAAAAAACTCACTATTAGTTTTGGGTACACTTTTTTTTTTATATCTTCCATGGTTTGGTCCTTCAGATAGTTGAAAGAGTGTTTCCGTATGCTCAACTTGACAAACCAAATCTGTAATAATTATGATATTATCGGTTAGGTTTAATCATAATTAGTAAAATACTATACGTGTAAATTACGTATAAAATACATACATTACTAAATTAATGGTACATATGATAATATGTTAATAGTCATAAAATGTATGGAATTACTTATTTTAGAAATAAATATATAATATGCAAATTATTAATTTAATTCATTAAATATAGATATTAAATGTGTTATACAGGTTTAATACATGTTTAGTGCATGAAGCCAAATGAACGGGGAAAATGAAATGGTTTGGCATTATACGAAAAAAGGGAGTTTTAAACGCTCAAAATGGTTGCTAATTCACCAGGCCTTGGAAGTTGGATGCGGAGAAATGCTTGGCGGAAGAAAGCAAGCAGTATTATTTAATTTTTAGGAAATGATGTAAATACCCTTCCATGAAGCTCTCTCAAAGCAGCAAATCCTACATCCTATACAATAATATATGGAGGTTTTTCGTTAGCGCACATAGGTAGGGAGGCTGTTTCGTCTTTCTATATCTCATCTTAATTTTTTTTTTTTTTTTTGCAAAACTTTTTAATTGAAGTCGGTATTAGGGTTGGGAAAATAGACCAGACCGTTAGAAAAACCGTGGTCCAAACCGTACCGCACAGTTTGGTTGGGACCGTAGACTGTTAAATATGGTCTGATCTGATCCATGGTCTGTATTATTTTATGTTTTGATCTCTTGGTCTGGTTTGGTCTAGACCGCGGTTTACCGGACCAAACCGTGAACCCAACCGACTTGTCAATACATGTTAATAGCCTATTCGATCACTCTCCCAACTCCCACAACGACACCCAAGTCTCAACCTTAATTTTGAGAATCTCGTCCCTCCTTCATTCACAACCACATTTAACCAGAGAGTAGAGATAATCATGTCTCCATATGACATTATGTTAATGTTTATAACGTTATGGTGCAAGTTGGGATGCTTTTACTTTGTATTTTTGTTATGTACTAAGATTTAGGGTATCAAAATTATTCATGCATGTTAGGATTAATGTTTTAAGGCAAATAACAATTATTTTTTTTGGTTATTGGTTCAATTTTTTTGTGTGGTTGACTAAACAAATTATTCATTTTTCTTTGAGTGTGGTCTATCTGGACTAGACCAGACCGAACCAGACCGCACAAGCGTGGTCTGAACCGTACCGTATAGTCTATGGTCTATACTTCAACCTCTCGGTCTAGACCATAGACCGTATATATGGTCTGATCTGAACTAAACCACACCGTTTCCCAGCCGACTTGGCCCATAGGAATCGGAATTGAAGTTACAGAGGGCCACTATAGTTATCCATCCCCACCCCATGAGCCATGACCCCAAAAGCATTAAGAAACAGAAGCAACCGATTTCTTTCCTTTTTATGTTTCTGATTTCTTTTTTCATGGTGGAAGGATATAGACATATAGTGTATGAGTTATACAGGGAGGATATCACTTTGGACTTTTATTTTCAGCAGCCCACTAAATTTTATAAATTTATAAGTACAACTAAATATATAAAATTTATTAGTTTAATTACTTAACATAGGTGTACTAAACGTGTTATACGTGAAGTATCAACCAAACAACAAATAAGAGACAACTCTATAATAGTACATAAACGAGAATTACATTATATAGAAAATAACTATCATTTCGTAACCTTTTATGTAATGGGTGTTGTTGGGGGTGTTATGAGCAAGGCCCAATGGGTGACAACTTGGGCTTCCAAACAACCGAATTGGGGGGCAAGGCCCAAGCAAGGTGGAGGGCACATAAGGACAAATCACTAGAAGCCAAAGGGGGCCAGACTGACATGTGGTCCAGCGTCTGCGGGCGCCTGTCACGTGCCAGGAGTCTGACAAGGTGGTTGGGATATCTGACCAGAAAGGGACAAAGCATTAAATGGAGACAGTGAGGTAGAGAAGATCAACCTCGAACTCTGGTGAGTATAAATAGGGGCAGTTGGTAGCATTTACACAGGTTGGACTCTCTCCCACAAAACTCTGGTTTGGAGACACTTCTCTCTTCCAGGAAATTAACTTGGGCGTCGGAGGATTAACGGGCCCAGGCGCCCCCTCCTTGTTCGTGTGTGCAGATCGGCGCCTTGCGAGTGAAGGTTTCAGAGAGTCGTACGAGGGTAACTTGTCACAAACAATTGGCGCGCCAGATAGGGGAGTATAGCCAGGAGTCATGAGTGAAGAGGCACCGATGAATGAAGAAAGGGAAGAAATTACAGAGGAACAATCGGAGCGAATGAGGGGGCAGATGCCCGGGATGGAAGAAGGTGAGGAAAGTGATGGCGTGTTTCGGGAATCCGAGGGCGCCTCAGTCACGAAAAAAGAATTGTTCCGGATCATCGAGGATCAGGATGAGGCAATCGAGGCGCTGCGGAGGGAAGTGGACGCCTTGAAGAGGAGTGAAAGGATGACGCCCAGCCCGATGAAAAAAAGGGAAAGGATGGAGGAGACGGAGAGTGAATCAGGGTGTCTGAGGCGCCCGAATCCATGGCGCCAACGCGACCATGGGGGCCCGGACGCTGGCGGGTGGAACGGAGGAGTCTTGGGGCGCTTGTCACGCCACTGCCCCATGAGGCAGCCTCTGGCACGTTGCATACTGTCGGAGCCCACAGGAACAAACATTCCCCCGCTCCCCGCCTATGACGGAACTGGAGACCCCGAGGACCACCTTAACGGATATTTCACCAAAATGCAACTCTATAACACCACAGACGCCACCCTGTGCAAGGTATTTCCGTCCACCTTTTCAGGCGTGGTCCTCGATTGGTATCATCAGATCGATGAGGGGCGCATCGATTGTTTCGAACAGTTCGCAGCGATGTTCTTAGCGAAATTTGCCAGCAGGAAAAGGCGCTCCTTGACCATTGGCGCACTGTTTAATGTCAGATAGAAGGAGGGAGAGGCATTAAGGGAGTTTTACGAGAGGTGACTATCCGTGGCCTTAGCGGTGAAGGACGCCCAGCCGTCGGTGCTGGGAGTGTGCCTGAATGGGTGCACCTCCAGTGAGGAGCTATGCAGATCGCTCGCAAAGAGAGACGTGGCGTCCACAGAGGACCTGGATCACAGAGTGCAAAAGGTAATTATGTTGGAGGAGACGTTAGCGGCCAGGAGGGCAGATCGGAGAAAGACAAGAGTGGAGGAGGCCGATATACCAAGGAGGACGTACCCCCCGAGTGGTTTGGGCTATGCGCCCGCAAACCAACCCCAGCCAAGGAGAAGTGATATGGGGCGCCTGGCGCCTAGGGGGGCAGGGCACTTCGCCGAGTACAACGACACCCTGAATAACGTGCTCCAGCACGTTAAGGAGAAGGGATACCACATCAGGTGGCCAGGCCCCATGAGGGGACAACCCAACGAGCGGAACTTGGATCGGTACTGTGATTTCCACCGTGAAATTGGGCACTATACGGCCGATTGTTATCAGCTGAAAACAGAGCTGCAGGGTCTGGCTGACAGAGGAATGCTTAATGACTTCATTAAGAAGCCTGAAGAAAGAGTGCACCGGGCATGTGTGGCTGGGATGGTGAAGACAAAAGAGGAGCTGCCACCCCCACCCTACGACCTAGACCAAGAAAAGGCGCCTGATCGCGTGCGCCTGACCATCGAAGCCATTTCAGGGACAATGGATTTGAGAGAGAAGATAGAGGCAAATCGCCGACTGAGGGCAGCGTCGGCGGATGTGCAGGAGTCGATCGACATTAGCTTCAACAAGGCGCCGGAAGAAGCATGTATTCTCCCGTCCATGGACGCCTTGGAGATACAAGGGGTAGTAGCCGGATGCAGAGTGAGGAGAATGCTGGTCGACACGGGAAGCTCCATGGATGTGCTGTTCAAGGATACGGTGGTTCGCATGCAACTGTCACCAGAGATGATTAGACCATCGGAGTCTATGCTGGTAGGCTTTTCAGGGGCGCCCGCTAGAGTGATAGGGCGGGTGTGCCTGCCTGTCACCTTGGAAGATGGGGAGCAAATAGTGACGCGCGCCAAAGACTTCGGGATAGTGGATTGCCCATCGCCGTACAATGCGATCCTTGGAAGGCCCCTCCTAGCCTTATTCAACGGGGTGGCCTCCACGTGTCACCAGACCTTGAAGTTCATCGCCCCGCAAGGGGTGGGCGTGGCCCGAGGACGAGGTGCCCCGCATTACGCAAAGGAGACTGGGCGCAAGCGAAGACACGTCGAGGCAAGAGTCAATATGATGGAAGTCGTGGGAGACGAGGCACCTCGAGCTGAGGCTGCCGACGAAGAACTTTTGATAGCACTGGAGGAAGGGCGCCCAGAAAGATGCGTCAGGATCTCGGCAGAGGCGCCTGCCGAAATGATGGAACGACTCATCGCACTCCGAAGAGAATTCGCAGAGCTTTTCGCGTGGAGTGCACTGGAAATGCCGGGCGTCAAACCCGAAACGGCCGTTCACAAGTTAGCGGTCGAGGAAGGCAGGCGCCCCGTGCAACAAAAGCGCAGGAACCTATCGCCAGAAAAGGAGGCGGCGCTTAGGGTCGAGGTGGACAAGCTTATGGGCACTAACTTGGTCGAAGAAACTTCTTATGTTACTTGGTTGTCAAATGTGGTCTTTGTGCCAAAGCCGTCAGGCGACTGGAGGATGTGCGTGGATTACACAAGCCTCAACAGGGCATGCCCGACGGACGCCTACCCA